TGGATGCCGGACCTGTCGGTGAGTCCTACGAGTAAATGCCCCGCATGGCTGTTGGCTAGTTGTGACACTAACCATCGATCGCACGCAGGGCTCGCCATGTCAAATGTGATGAAGCCCCAGGAGCATGTGGAAACTGCACGTCGAGCGGTCGCTCCTGTGATGGCTACGACCTGCAACGGCTGCCACCGCCAGCAAGATCCAGCAGGAAGAAGACGCCCTGGACCCGGCTGCTCCCTGAGCTAGGCGGTGGCATTCGCTGGGTTACGAATACGGATGAGCGCCGCTGCTTCTCTTACTTCCAGTACTACACCATTCCGACCCTATCGGGGTTCTTCAATTCGGTGCTGTGGGAAAAGCTCGCCCTACAAATGAGCTATGCTGAACCCGCCGTGTACCATGCGGCCGTGGCGCTGAGCGCCATCCATCAGGACGTCGAGATGCACGGCATGCCCTTACCCGGACAGGAATTGGAGCTTTATAATACCTGGCATCGATTCACTCTGGAACAGGCCGGGCGATCATTCGCCATTCTCAACGAACGCCATTTCTCACAAGACCCGCGTTTGCGTGAAGTTATGCTGCTGTGTTGCCTTTTATTTGTACTGATGGAGCTTTTGCGCGGACGGTATGACGACGCCTTCCAACACCTCGAGGGTGGTCTGCGGATATTGAATGAGCTGAAGGCTCAGAGACAACTCGTCACCTGGGCCCCACATGAATCGCCGGTGGAAGAAGCTCTCGTCGCCGCATTCGCACAGTTGGACATTCAAGCCGCAAGCTTCAAGGTCGGTGGTCCAGTTCTACGTATCGAAAACGAGCTGGACGTCTCCACCATGGAGGAGGAGTATCTAGTATTTTACAATGTCCGTGAAGCGCGCCGTGCCATCGAGCCCCTCTTGAGTCGTGCCTTCGGCTTTCTCATGGACTGCTGGTCCAAGTCCGACAAAGAAATACTATGCAATTATAATTGGCTACAACAGGTACAACAAAAACTATTCTCCGAATTGAATCACTTCTCGGCACTATTCGACACCTTCTATAATCACTCATATACTCGACTGAGTCGAAAAGACCAACGAGGAGCAGATATGATCAACATCCTCCGACATACCACATCCCTCTCAATCCGAACGTCTCTCATCCGAGACGAAGTTTTACTGAGTCAATACCTGCCCGAGTACAAAGCGAACCTTGCCCTCATAGAAGCGGCAATGTACAAATTCCACGAACGTCCCAACTATACCCTCGACATGGGTGTCGTGCCCCCGTTATATATTATCTCGATAGGCTGTCCCGATTACGGGCTGCGCTGGAGGGCAATCGAGTTGCTTCGATCTTGGCCGCATCGTGAGGGGGTCTTTGATTCCAATTGGGCGGCTTTTATTGCAGAAGAGCATATTAAGATTGCACTGAGGTTGCAAGGATTTCACGCAGTTGATGGGATACCGGATTATGTAGGGGACAATGAGAGTCCGACGAGTTCTATGGGGTCTAAGGAGGATTCGAATACAGAGGGGAAATTGGAGAAGGGAAGATGGTCGACTTTGGGACAGGAAGAGTATTCCATTGAAAAGGGTCTGGAGAAAACGAAGTGCATGGAGGATTGGCCTTGCGTGCAGGCTCTGCTAGCTGCGAGGAGGCTATGTATGATGTGATGTTTGGGTATTTGTAGATAATTATATATAATCTGGCGATGATTTCTCAAAGCACATATACTGACGAAAAGGAAAAAACAGCAATAACATATGGCTACTCTCAGGTTTAGCCGTCTAATCACAAGTATTCGAAGCAGATATCAAGGTAGAAGACAAACAAAAGCTTCCTCCGCTCACTGTTGTGTTCGAAACAAACCTCCGGGATATCACCATCTCAGACCCAATGCGACGTAGTATTTGACTCCATTGTGCTTAAACCCTGGTCTTGAAACACGAATAGCAGATTAACAAGGATACAGTGAGTATTCACCCAAGCTGTTTCGACTCACTGCCGAGGCGGAAGTGAGCGACGGTGGTTTCCAACGCCGTCTCAGGTAGAGTGCCAAGTTCTAGGCTAATCCAGCCAACCTTCAGCTCAGCAATCAATTCCCCTTTTCTCTTTTACCCGTTTACCCAGGGCAAAATGAAACTCCCACAGTGTCACAACCTTCTGCAGAAGGTTGCCCTGCATCCGCGGGTAGATGAAGAGGCCCGATCTGCCGAGATGCTAAAATGAAGGCAAGTTTTGCGGGGACGCTGCAGATCGCCGGATTCTCCACCAACGGGAGGAAATAAAGTAGCCGCCTAACTTGGCCAATGTCGGTTGTTGGGGTCAGCTCAGGTGGATCCCAATTCAGGTCCGCTTCGTATTAGGCAAAGAATTCGGAGCCCGGGGTATTAGGCTAAACGTGTCTATCTTGGTGGAACCGGCTGAAGAATGGTATCGGGCAGGTCGATTGGGAATATAAATAGGGCGATCATGTTGGGGTTCGAGGTAGTTGTTGTCGATCACAATTGAATCTATCGCTCTAGTAGTCTTGTTCTCACGTCTAGTCTCTCCCTTTTCTTCAAAATGGTACATCTAAAGGCCATCGCCAGCGGCACTCTCTTCGCCTCCCTCGCTTCATCCGCCGTCATCAGTCGACAGGCTGCCGCCAGTATCAATGACGCCTTTGTCGCCCATGGAAAGAAGTACTTCGGTACCTGTTCCGACCAGGCTCTCTTGCAAAACAGCCAGAATGAGGCCATTGTCCGGGCGGACTTTGGCCAGCTGACTCCTGAGAATAGCATGAAGTGGGATGCTCTTGAACGTTTGTCTCCTGGTCTCTTGTTATTGGGTGTTTGCTGATGGGAACAGCGAGTCAGGGTAGCTTTAGCTTCGGTGGAGCTGATTTCTTGGTAAGTGTTGAACTTTGGGGGACTGGATGTTGATTCTGACCAGGTGTCATAGGCTGATTATGCTAAAACTAATAATAAACTTGTGAGGGGTCACACTTTGGGTTTGTTGCCTTCCATCCCTGTTCAACTGGTTTAAGGATGAATTGAAGCTAATGAAGGGATAGTTTGGCACTCGCAACTCCCATCGTGGGTGCAGAGTATCACCGACAAGGATACTCTGACTCAGGTGATGAAGAATCACATCACCACTGTGATGCAGAGATACAAGGGTCAGATCTATGCTTGGGTAGGTCTGACATTGTACATATTCTTGGTTCCAACATTAACCTAGGTCTAGGACGTTGTCAACGAGATCTTCGACGAAGACGGCACTCTCCGTGACAGTGTCTTTTCCCAGGTCCTTGGTGAGGACTTTGTCCGAATTGCCTTCGAGACTGCGCGCGAAGCGGATCCTAACGCTAAGCTATACATCAACGATTACAAGTGAGTGATCGTCCAGTTAAACATACCTGAGGCTAACAATATTAGCCTGGATTCGGCGGACTACGCCAAAACCAAGGGAATGGTTAGCTACGTGAAGAAGTGGTTGGATGCTGGTGTCCCCATTGATGGCATTGGTAAGTTGTCTGTATTTTTCTGGATAGAATTACCTTCTAACTTCAGCGCAGGCTCCCAGTCTCATTACAGGTAGGGCTTCTCCAGTATATCCACCTTCCGAAGATCCCCGAATTAACATTACTCACCATGTAGTGCGAATGGCTTCCCCGTCTCCGGCGCCAAAGGATAAGTCTCTTGCAACCCAACTGTGAAACGAAAAAACTAACATCAAGCACAGCCCTAACTGCTCTCGCCTCGACCGGTGTTTCTGAAGTCGCCGTAACTGAGCTTGATATTGAGGGAGCTAGCTCCGACTCTTACCTCGAGGTTAGTGTATTGTGCACATGTCTCGGTAGAAGATATTAACCTAATACAGGTGGTCAACGCCTGTCTCGATGTCAGCTCCTGCGTTGGTGTTACTGTCTGGGGTGTATCTGACAAAGTAAGGGTCTTAGATTGTCTGTCATACAGGAAGAAGCCAGACTGACATCCACAAAGGACTCATGGCGCTCCAGCACCTCCCCGTTGCTCTTCGATAGCAACTACCAAGCCAAAGACGCGTATAATGCGATTATCAATGCTCTGTAGACTCAGATACCAGCGTTGGTGGTATCTACAACACTGATGAACAGGACGGAACTATTCGGGGATAGTATATAGTCTTTGTTCAAATATATGGTATGGTAATATTTGCTATCATGCGATATCTGTATTGTTGTTTCCTCGATCGTTAGTTCCTGATTAGCTCTGTACATACAATCAACTGAACTACAATCTCTGCTAGATGATCGGCAGCCATTTTAAAAGGGGATTTAACCAGGTGTAGTCCCAATGACGTAGGACAAAACTAATAGCGCGCTATCATTACTAAAGATCATCAACTAGAAGGCAAACGAGGTGCAGTCAGTCGCCTTATAGTCAGATCCGAATAAAGTGAACACCGACAAAATTTTACAGGTACTGGTAGTTTCGAAATATGGCGGGCTATCAATAATTGCGACGATTGTTCTACACAAGGACAGCCTCATGTGTCAAAGGCGATCTGCAAAGGCGATGGTAGAAGTATCATGCCGAATGTCGAATGACTGCTAAGGTACAAGCTCGACACCCCAAGTTGATATCTGGACTGGAAAGAGTGATTCCCGTGCCAGAGCATATTACATCGGCTGCTTCTATAGTTTCAGTAAATGCAATTGGATGAACTTAACCTCCATAGATGATTCTAGGAGGAGTGAAATAATGGATATAGTGTTTAAGAACTTCAAAGCAAAAAGCATATCGACTCAGTACTACTGATAATGGTCGGGGTAGTGATGATAAGCAAGCAGTATTGTGCTATATACTGAACTTCGAAGTCTTGGTAGATATTGCCACTTTATACTAAATTTGGCAGATCCTGGGATTATTAGCTGAATCATAAGTAGAATACTTACACTATACTTTAATTATCCAATGTTAATACTGCAAGCTTGCTTGTATTCATATAGCTTTCTACAAAGCTAGACACAATAGGTCGCCGAGCACCTTGAATCAGAACTGAACATTCAGATCGAGGACAACATGGTTAGGTGTAGTCATACCCTTAAGGGTGACATACTTTTGGTTGGGCCACTGAACTACCAGCGGTGCAGCCTTCACGAAGGTGCCACCTAGGTCCTCATTCTTGCTCTCAACGACCGCATACATAACACCGACAATGACCAGCGTGATCCAGGACACACACGCGATCAACCACTCCCACCATTCCGCTTTCGTCGATTTGCCCTTTTTCTCCTTGATCTGGTTCAGAGTAACCTTCTCCTTGTCATCAACCTGGAATTGCTGCCAGCTTTGATCCCATGTGTCTACGCGGAAGTCGAGGAATGTGACATCGGCCTGCGCATCTAAATAAAAACAGAGTGCTTTTTCCATGGTATCGACGGAGGCCGTCAATGATGAAACCCAAGGGTCGTGCTCTTTTTTGAGTTTGATATCTTCGGTGTTATACACCTGGTAGAGGTGAGGCTCGGGAAGCGATTTGATGGAGATCTGGTTGGCAACTTTGTCTTGCTGCTTGGCTTGCGTTTTGATGTTTTCAACCATAGGGGGCATGACAAAGTATTGTAAAAATATCTTGTTCGAGATGAGCACCATAAAGTTCTGGTCCGAGGCTAAAAGTGGCTTATTAAAGTATATTTCGCCTTTGGAGGTAGACACTGACTGCATCAACACAAGGAGGTTGCTCCGGCCAGGAACTTTGGGGTCTTTAACGAAGGAGAAGTCGGCGAGGCGAGGGATCAAGGCATGGTACTTTTCGGCTTGGTCGTTCGATAACGAAAAGGATGCGACTTTGTACTCTTTGCCACCTTTCAGATGCTGTTTTATGACTTCCTTCAGGACTGTCACCAGAAAGGCGAGGTCCGCCGCAGGGATATCGAGCTTCATATCGACTAGAACATCCTCGCTCACAAAGTCAATGATCAGATCGTAATTGGTTTGCTTTGGGTCCTTATGTGGTTCCAATTTGTTCTCGATCTGTGTAAGCTGTGTCGTCACGATGAGCTTTTCGCCTTTGGGGATCGTGATTTTCGAGTTATTCAAGGAAATGCTGCCCTCCATGGGTAGTAGAACGTCAACCTGACGGCCTGAGCCATCCTTAACCTTCAGCTGGGGCTGGTGGATAGTGATGTCGACATGCGCGAGAGATTTATTCCCCATAAAGTCGAACGGGACATCCGCCTGGACAGTCTTTGCGGCTATCTTGGCAAGTTGCGTATTGAGCGCGTCCTGGGAAGCAGCGGCGATCAAATCCCAGCCGTTGCTGGTAGTTTCGTTTTGAGACATGGCGTTTGGGTTGTACTAACGATTGTCTTTTGGATAAGTTGATTTTGGAAGAAAAGAAGGGGAGAGGATTGATGAATGATTAAAGCAATGTTCGGCGGGTAGAGGATGGGTATTTATGCACGGCCTGGAGCTTGCTGGTGTGGACAACTTATCGAAGTCGGGATTAGAGATTAGACCTCAACAGCTGCCTTAGTCTAGGTGAATAATACTACATGCGTCATGTCTAGGTAAAGCATCTCACGGACCACTCAGCGTGGGACTCGATAATGCGGCAACCTTGTTGTCTTGGGCGCGTCGTAGATGGAGAGACAAGGTTCCCCTCATTTCATACACACTCGTTTATGTACATGCATGTATGTCCGAATGTAGTAGTGACTCGCAGGTGTATAAACTGGTCTTGGTTGGGCTATTGCCATCACACCCGAGAGTGCCAACTCAGTGGTGTCACACCTAACACCATGCGAGCCTGTATTATTTACCATGTGCCCTTGTATATTGGGCTACTATAGACGAATGAGTATTTCAGAGTGGAGCTCTAAATGTTTTGCCTAGCTTTGAGAGGTCTACAAACCTCAGACGTGTGAAATAAGATTAGTGTGACGGAGATTCCTAGTTGCATCTGAATCGGCAGAGGTCATGGCTGGCTGTGACGGAGGGTTGTGATGGTGGGTGGACTCAGACTTCGTATAAAACTAGAAAGCGAATTTTGGCTTGGCAATTGCGAGGTGAAATCTTCATCTAACCTCAAAATCATATGTATCATCTGCAGTACGATGATATTACTTCATAAATGTTATCGTACCGTGGTCTTTGATGAAAGAGATCAGGAGGGTAAGAGTTGCCAAAAGTCTGGAGTGCCTTGCGTACCCAGTCTTGAGGTTGAACAGAGTAGGTGATCTACACTCTGGACCTAGGCCCTCCTCCACTTCCATACAGCTAGCCACAATAGCTCCTCCTGCAGATCCATGCAGCTGAAAATGCCCGTCACTTTGCAGTCCCACTAACCCATGGAGTTCTTAGTAAGCGCTATGTATGATAATTATTGGTTTTCGCCACCTCTACCTACCGTGTAAGGGCAATTTATGTCCGGGGAAGGCCTTAGTCTATGCCATCTGAACTGAAAATAGGGATTAACTACAAACACCATTGGGCAAGAATTCGTATGGATCTCTTTACAGGCGATTCGTGGTTGATCGGGGATATATATACCATCTGACCCGGCGTAGAGCCAATATGGCCAACAGCACTATTAGCCCTTCTGACTGGAACATTGCTTGAAAAGTAACTGTATGGCTAACGCACAGGCCCCTCTCAATCAGGGTTGCATTGCAGCCCGAGGTTCAGCTGGAGACTGGAATGTTTACTACATTGCACGAGGATTGATTGGAGTTGGATGCTGGGTTTGACACATTGATTGCTTGGCCTATTGAATGGTTCATCTTCCCTCGGCAGATTGACCACATCTATTCATTCCCCAGAATATCCTCGACGTTTAGCTCTTTTGTAGGCGGATGGTATAGACGATCTTGTTTTATGGAGCGAGAGCTCTCATACCGTCCATGCTTAACGTGTTTTAGCTGCAGGGTTAGACGAGAGTATGGAGGTATTGAGGCAGAGCCCTAAGGTGAAGCTCTCGCTATTACAAATCTGCTATTTACGAAAGCTAGGCATAGTGCTTCGTCGTTGTGTAGAGCTCCTATATACTATATTCAACCCTCAACAATGACTAATTAATAATACATGTGATATGAACTTTTAACATGTGATTGACTCTTGAACTCTGCTAGACATTAGACATATGTATTCACGCCTCCAAGTCGGAGTCATATGCATCCCACGAGAACCAATCAAACACATTGTCAAATGGCTCCCGGGAGACATTGCGAGGAATTGCTCTGTCACCCGCCCCGGAGTCAGAACTATTCAGCTTCTGACGCTCAACATCAGCTAAAGGGCATGTGAGAATCAGGTCAGCAGGGAGCCACTCTAGGTAACTAGCGACGTCCGGTTCCCCTATACCGACATCTGGTAGAGTCTCGATATCGCCAGAGCGAATGGAGGAAATGTTGTTCATTACTTGGCCATCGTGGTTCCCTGAATGTGATATGCTATGGCTATCTGTGGATATTACCATGTTGTCCGGTGTTTGGGCATCCGCGTGCTGGCGGACTTGAGCTCGCGCCAGTTGAAGGAAAGTAGCCGCCACACGCTGTAGTCTGGCACAAACAGTAGCTAGTAGACGCATCTGGGACCGCATTTCTGCATAATAACTCACGGTCGTAGATAGCAGTTGCAGGTCCTGTTCAACGGCCGGTGTCCAGCAAGTATGATAAATGATGTTTTCAAATATTACAAAGAAAGGAGTGAAAGGGTAATACAAGAGCTGCCTGGATTGATCGTATTAACACACGGGCCGCGATTAAGAGAAAGGTTCTTCATACCAAACCACTCCATTGTATACCGAGCTCCAATTTGACACAATGGAACTTAGGATGGAGATAGCATCCCGAGCAGATGACAGTCGGAGGGCCAAATTTGATTCGTCTCCCTTCAGTAGGATGACAAGAATGTGAAGATAGTGAAACTTCATGCTGTTGATCCCTAAACCCATCTCCCTGAGGTCACACGCACTTGCCGAAGCACTTTCAGCATGCATGGTGTCTGTGAGGATCTAGCTAAAGGGTAAGAAATTCATAGTTTAAATACTCCGATGAACGAGGAGGTTCTAACTTGGTTTGTGCCCTGGTACCACTCATCCAGGTTAGACCGAATATCCCTCCTTGCAAGGGAAGAATCGCCCGTCGCCAGAACGTCCAAGAGAAGTCCTATTAACTTTGACAGCTCCATGGATCTCTTAAAAAGCTGGACACCGAACTGGGAAACCTTTGCGCCGTTTCCCTCGCTATCATCTAGGTGAAACCTTAGCAAAATGTCGTCATCTGGAAACGGTACGTTCTGGTACACGGCAGCCGGAAGCAACGCCGGGCGACCGAACGCAAGCGAACACGATTTATCCATCACAAACAGAAGCCAAAACAGGGAAAGGCGCTTTTGCCCCAACTTGGATGAATGGCGACTCGACGCATGCAGTCCTAGAGCCTCGGCCTGCCGACAGGCGTGCCCTAGTAGCATCCACGATAGGTTGGGAGTGGCATAGTCCTCACCATGCATGGCTAAGAGAGTCAACGCCTGTACATTAACTTCACGCGGTTCAAGGAAGATGGGACTGTCATTCAGTGCCAGCTGTACATTATGCCGCAGCGTTGCTGTCTCTTTGCTATCACCATCCCCAGCTGAAATATCGGACAGTAGTAAGTAATTGAAGTAGACAACCCACGCCTTTTCGCGGACATTGTGCGGCTCAAAAACAACCTGTCGGACCGCTTCATCAGTCGGGGCAGAGAAGAATGGCTCGCCGACTTCAGCGAGCTCCCAGAACTCTATTCGATGATCGAAAAATCAGCTATATTATGAGAAGAGAGGTGGAATGGCTTACTGCTTATCAAGCGATATCCCACCGGCCTCGAGGGAACATAAAAGCGCGTAGTATCTTCCATACCAGTTTGATTCACTGGTTGTGTGGCTAGTCTACTAGAGAGATATTGACGCTCAGAGTAAGCGCTCTGGTGAGTGCTATAACATGATGATCGAGGAATCGCATCGATGTTAGCTGCTATCTTCTGTAAGAAAGAAAAGGAATGCGATGGCCCAATGTACAGATCAGAATTAGAGCTACTCTCAGCATTTGCCACTGATCGACGATGTCCAGTCAGTCTTTCAGTATCAGTCGATCTCGGAGGTGCGGAAAGGGTTATCTGCAAAGCGCGGTCGACGGAGTTGGTTAAACGTTGCACGGTGACTTCCAGTTGTCGCAGCCGAGCTTCGATATCACTATGTGCCTCTGGCCTTCATTATGATTTAGTCGAATTACAGTGCTCAGGTGTAATGAATCTGGTGGAGAGGGCTCACACGCGATCGATACTCAACCGCGAGGATGACAACATGTCCCTCGAGTAGTGACAGCTCCCTGGCCATGGCTTGCAGGTGTTACATTTAGGAAGCTCGCGGGAGCATCTTGGGAGAGTTAGTAACGTCGTACTTGGTGTATAAATATTAGTGTAGCAATTGAGTATACTTGAGCTTTTTCTGTCGACAATAATCACACTGTGCAGGAGCTGATCAGTGGCGATACCTCTGCGTTTTTCTCGTTTCCTTACCGCATATCGAGCGAATCTCTGACTAGCCCCGAGTGATCCACTAGCCTCCATTCTAGAGAAGCTCCCGGAACGGCTCCGGTAAATCCGTTAAGACACAGTGGTTACCACGGAGGACGAAAGAAAGGAGGACATGGTGGAAATACCTTGAGACGCCCTCGAACTTAGGCGTTGACTGGCTGACGTCGGAGGTCCGTCCGAAGCTAACCAATGAGAGGGGGTAAAGCCGGACTTGGCGATATCAATTCTAGTGCACAATATAAAATTAGTCAAACTATCTGTTTGAATACTTCATACTGTTGAAACTCATATTCTTACTTAGTTATTTTTATTTCACTGGCATGACGTTGGCAGAACCACCAACAATGGAGCTACAACCATCCATCGCCATAATCGGAGCAGGGCCAGGCGGATTAGTATTCGCACGGCTTTTGGAATTGGGTGGGATCACCGACTATGTCATCTACGAGCGCGACGAGTCAGCTACACCAGGCCCCTGGCAGCAAGGAGGAACTCTTGATCTGCACGGGCCTTCCGGGCAGCTGGCCCTTAAGCGTGCCGGTTTATTTGACAAGTTCAGCAAGGATCTCGCCCGCTGGGAAGCATCCGGTTTGCATATTGTCGACTCGAGAGGTGCAACAGTCGTCCAGATGGACGAGGGTAGTAATAGACCTGAGATTGATCGTGTACAATTGCGTCAGCTTCTGTTGGACTCGGTTCCTGCGCATAAGATTCGCTGGGGTCATGCTGTTAGTGCCGTTGAGAGGAACGCAGATAGTTGCATGGCATCCGGTGATAACGGCTCTATTATTCATTTCGTGAACGGCAGTTCGGTGACTGGGTTTCGGCTTATTGTTGGTGCTGATGGTGCTTGGAGCAAAGTTCGTCCTTTAGTATGTTGGCACGATATCCTTTGATCTCTAAACAATAGAATGGCATCACTCACCATCTGCTTCTTAGCTCACTTCGGCCAAGCCGGTGTATTCGGGAAAGATGTTCATCGAAGGAAGCCTGTCGCATAACAATCCAATTTACAAGATGGCCACCGAGATGGTGGGCCTGGGGAACATGGCAGTGCTAGGCAACGGAATCAAAATGGCGGTACAGCAGGTCTCCAATGGCACATATCGCGTGTACTTTGGGTTACCTGTCCCTGAAGACTTCTACCACCACCGTCAACCTAGTTCAATGGCCGCTACCGACCCCATCAGCAAAGCTGAGGCTGTGCGACAACTCCTCTTATCATCCAACGATTTCTACGCCACATGGGCACCGGAGCTCAAATGTCTAGTCGAGACTACAGAGGGCCCCTTCCGTGCTTGGCCGTTATACCGCATGGAACCTGAGTCAGTCGGCCGGGCCCGGGATGCGGCTCCAGGCGTGACACTGCTGGGAGATGCGGCGCACCTTCCAACACCTTTCGCTGGCGAAGGGGTCAACTGTAGCATGTACGATGCAGTTATGCTCGCCGACCATATTATCGAGCAATGTGGCAAAGATATGAACCTTGTCAACATGGAAGGCCCTGCATTGGAAACGGTCCTGACCGCGTACGAAGAAGACATGTTTCTGCGCGGTCGGGACGTAATTCGACGTGGTACGAAGAGCGAGACCATGCTTTTCGCTCAGGATGCTGCTGCATTGTTTCTCAAATTCTTTGAATAAACCAGGGAATGTGACGGTGAAAGGGGTAAATCAAGAACAGACGATCGATAGGAGGAAAGAAAAGGAAACAAAAATCAAAAAATCCATCAGACACACCAATGCCAAGATTATTGACAGCATAAAGACCTCTTGATGCGGGTTTAGCCTGAGATAACACCTAAATTCGTCAAATATAGTAGTCGTAGTCCAGGTGTGCGAAGAAGGAATGTAGTCTGACCGCTCGCATCCGTCCAATGACCTCTGATACCTTGCTCAACCTACCTATCCTTATCCAGGTTGTGGATAGGTGTTCTACCCTCACTAGTAGGTATCTCTGACAATAGGTGTACATCAAAGTCTGAGTCCACCCATGTATCCTGTAAGATAGTGAGATTAGTATATGCAAGAAGCCTAAGGCTGGAGGAGGAAATATGACGCAGCACATAAGGAGCGGGAATACTTACTTCTCCTCCTTCGGTTTGCATCACTTCACGTTGTTGATGTCGTGACATTCTGTACTGACAGCACCTTAGTGATGGCTGTGTCTCTTCAGGTATTTGCAGTCAAATTTCACGTCAGAACGGAAGGAAATGTTAGGCACTGCCATGAACAAACCTGCCTAGAATTACAGTCTGTATCTGGTTCAAACTCCCATCATATTCTGTGCTGACCTCTACTATCGACTCTTTCAAACTAGTCCCAAAGGCCCTTTCCACAGTGCCACATGCCATTCAGTAGCGCTCTACTCTATAAAACATATCATTCTATAATTCATAAAGATTATTAATTAGATATATAGCTTAAAGTTGTTTTCTAATAGGACTTACTGATAGTGGTAAATATTGGGAATCTCGATTGAGCCCGCCGTAGGTGTTGGTTCCGTTGCGGGGTAACGTAGGTCAAGGATTTGTGTTGAATGGGGTGGCCAAACTCTTCCTAGTTCTTTATCTACCTCATACTTGGGAAACCATAGGCGCAATTTCATATCGGGTGCTGGCTGAATTTTATTCTCATCCTCCCAAGCATGTATGGAACGCTGAACAACGACGACTACGAGTATAATGGAAGTGGATTTGGAACTGTTCAAGCCACCTGGATGGGTGGAGTGCTGCTCAGATTGACAGGCAAGAAAAATCTCAATGCTGTTGGGCTTCCGGTGGAATCCACATCAGTCTGATAAAGGAGTGCCACTAGGACTCTACCTTCTGTATCTGTCGAGGGGTCCCATTACGCCACGGTACAGCAAGCCCATGGGACTACAATTGAATGAAGCCTTGGCAACACCGACGTCCTCCACATCATGCGCGAGTCACAAGGAGCCATGGGATAGTCAAAGTGTCGAGAAAATACTTTCCGATCTAATCATCTCTTCTGCCACTGACGCCGTATCCACAGAGGCATCGCATCTGGGAAATGTAGAGGGTAAATTATTCACAGATAGCCCTCTGCATGATCAGGAGCGGTATGACGATAAAGTTAGCTTCCGTGCCTTATATGAGTTGAAGCGAGTGTCCAGCATGTGGAATGTGTCTATCGGTGCCTTAGTCCAGGGTCATGAGATTCCTGATGACTATATACTCTTTCGTAAATGGCTCACGGGCCATCCAATGCGGGATGGGCAGCCTCTACCAGCACCGCCGAAAAAGAGAGCATGGGATGTCGCTGAAGGGTGCTGGATGGAGCCAGAATCACAGCAATCCGTTGAACTTAGTGGCAGCCTGCTGAGAGCGCCCTGCGTGCAAGGCCACTTTATATTGAAGCTGAATCCGCTTAAACTGGAGAAGGGATGCCGTCTATACCGCCGGTTCGGATCGGACCGCTTCCTCACTTTGACAATTCCGTTCTTAGAGAAGTTCTGCGGCTGCAACAGACTTCGCGAGCATATTGCAGAATGGTTAGCGGGGTCGCAGCATAGGCTGCTTGGTAGAATCTGAAAACCTTTCTATATAAAGGAGGACGGTGATAACCACCGAATCTACCTTTTCGCCGTTGATGGCGATGACTTCCCCACACCTGGGTCCCTCAGCTCTCTCTACACTCCAGCAGGTAATATTCACCGGGCAGCTATGTCGGTCGATGAATTGAGAAACTGGCTTGTCCCCTGGGAACCGAACCACGGGGAGACTGATATCAAATTGTTCTATCGGATGCAACTAGGGCTGAGTGGTACCTTCACGACTATACAGCTTGAGGCGAACCAGCTCATAGCTGTGGCGGATAAGATGACTGGAAATAGGGTTATGAACGACGGATGTGCCTTGATGTCTAGAACTCTAGGTCGCCGAGTTGCTGAGGCACTGGGATGCGAAAACAGCGTCCCAAGTTGCTTTCAAGGAAGAATAGCAGGAGCAAAGGGAGTGTGGATTGTTGACCGAGATGACTCTGCTCATGCCTGCCAGGGTGGCAACAATTGGATCGAGATATCAGCTTCACAGTTGAAGATAAAATGGAAAGCAGGGAAACACGGCATACCACTGGACCCTTATTGGAGGCAATTTGAAGTCGTTGGGCATTCGAAACAACCACAGCCTGGAAGATTGAGTGCTCAGTTCGTAAGGATACTCGAAGACTGCGGTGTTCCGAGACAGATCTTTGCGCAGTTGCTACAAAGCTCAATGCAGCAGGTTTCAGGTGACCTCCTAGAGGCGATAATGCGGAACGACCGTAATGGATGTAGGAGCCTGTTGTCAAAATTAGGAGCATTGAATGTCGATCGATTCACAGATTATACATGGCCCTCGGACGCCAACGATCAGGCTGCAACCCTGTTGGAAAGTGGGTTTGAGCCCCTTTCCTGCCGCTACCTTTTCGATTTGTTGAGGAAGTGTTTGGAGCTTCGACTTGACTCCTATGTTAAAAAGCTACATATTCCAGTCGTCAGCTCTACCAGTTTATATTGTATTGCTGATCCATATGATGTTCTGGAGCCTGGAGAGGTTTACCTGTCACTCTCTGGGCGCTGGGAAGATGGCAGGTTTGACGGAGAAACATTCCTCAACACAGACATACTGGTCGGTAGACATCCAGCGCTCCGCCCTTGCGATATACAGAAACGAAGAGCAGTTTGGAAACCCGAACTACGACATATTTCCAACGTTATCGTTTTTCCGGCTACAGGGCAGTACTCACTAGCCGAAATCCTTGGTGGTGGAGACTATGACGGAGATTGTGTTTGGGTCTGCTGGGATCCCAACATCGTTGGTCACTTTACCAACGTAGAACCACCACAGCGCACATACGGTGATGCTGAGCTTCAACTCACCCATAATGGGATCGTGGTAACAGCCTCTTACACGGAGGACTTCTGGGTCAGGATGTTTACTTTTCATCTTGAGCGTTCAATGGTTGGAATGTGTACGAACCTTCATAGTTACGTCAGTCAGGTTCGCGGCCTCAGGTCAAGCGAAGCTCTGATGATGGCGGCAGTGGCGTCGCGTTTGTTGAGTGCACATAAATCGGGCACTTCCCTTCCACAATCCGGTATGGCTCGGCTGAAGAAAGCCATGCTTGGACTCGGGCACAGTGCACCCAGCCATGGTACAACAATCACCGAGTTTCTCCATGCTGCAGCCACGAAAGAGAGAGTGGCAATTTTAACAAACTTATTCCAGGCATATTCTGCTGCCCGGGTGACTGATGTTGATGACACATTGTTGAATGTATATCAGGACCTGTCTCATCAAGGCGAGGTGCATTCTCCACTGCGAGACGCCCTGCACAGACTAGCGGACCGTATTGGTCATATCAGGAAGGTAATTTGGGCATCTTACCGTCATCGTCCTGGGGAGTTTGAAGCCATCGTTGAGGAGGCTATGTTGGCGATTCAGGCAATAGAGCCAGAATCCTTCGACCATCCGCTAAGCCAGGTATGGATGACAAGCCCCCGGGAGTGGAACAGGGCACGTGCAGCATGTGTTTATGCCCATCATCGTACTGGCAAATTTGCGTGGTTCATGGTTGGTCGCACATTATGCCAAATCAAAGCGGAGAGTGGCCAGGCTATATCCATGCGAGCTGACACACTCGCGTGTTTCAAGTTCAGTCAAAATCGATTCTCTCGGTTTCTGAATCAAGAATGACTTGCAGAAATCTCAATAATACCATGTACTAATATATCGAATCATGTGGTTTATTATGCGTAATACAAGGTCCTTACTAATGCTCTAATCCCAGAAACCCCTGTGGTGGCTGAGACAACATGAGGAGGTCGTACTCTGGACCAAATGAGAACATATTATATGAGCATAGTCGCGAACCTCAGAAATAAATCAAGGGAGGTAGGGGATTTCAATTAACAGTTTAAGCGACCTTTTGCACCTATGAAGCAATAGGACATCGAGAGCTCTTTGCGGGAATGCGTAAATTAGGGTCAGATTAGGTATGGCATCGAGGGCAGCTTTGCAGAAGGTTTTAACATTGGCGGTATCACTACATGAGTGTTACTATAAAAATGTAATGTGGGGGACAGATACAATGCAAAACCATGTCATGGTCACTACTTCCACACTGTGGAGTAGAATAAAAATTAAAGTATGGGATTTGGAATTCGGCGAGCTTGTGTATGTAAAAGCCAGTCTACCTAGGCACAACTAAATCCCTAGCTGCGCATCCGACACCCAGTGCGAACCTCCAGCACAGCGATACCCACCACTCTGCTTAATCCATCGGTACCCCATAATACAAACCCCCATCTGTCTCAATTTCTTCTGTGCTTGAGCTTCTTTCCTCCGCTTCTCCTCTTCCTGAGCTCTCTTCTTGCGCTGTTTCTCTAGAGCCTCTTCTAGAGCTCTTCGTTGGAGTTCGCGGCGGAAACGTTCTTTTTCATGAGCCATTTTTGTCGCGGTGTCGTTTGCTGATTTATCGTCGGCGTCTTCATTTTGTTGCTTAAGTGTATTTTCTAGCGTTTGCACTTCTTGAAGAATATGGTGATACTCTTGGTCTGACTTCTGGACTTGGAGCTTGTCAAGTTGTAGCTGGTTCCATATCTCATCTGACACTCCGGCATCTCGTGGATCAGCTGTGTTCGGTGGGGGTGTTGCTGAGTCTATCGGACCAAGATCTGGCGATTGTGCTGCTTTATTTGTATTCGTAGCTGTCGTCGTATTTGTAGACGCATTAACATTCGATCCAGGTTGTACATTGCTCTGTGTATCTGTGGCAGCTGGGAGATGGTTAACAGCAGCCCCAGAATGACGATGGCCAACTGTTGACCGGCTCGAACGTTCTTGAACCATCCGACCCATTTGTATCAAAATATCATGATCTGTAAGAACTAGTCTCCCACCACCAATATTTTGAATTGTTTTGGCGAAGATCTTCTTGGCAAGATCCTGAATATCTCTCGCATTAGCCCAATTGGGCGTTTGACGAAGTTCTGCAAAGTAGGAGTGCATATTCCCGCGCAAATCAGGAGGTAGATGTTCCAGAACGCCAATGTTGAATTCCTTCCCCTTTTCTCTCAGTTCATCTCGCTGCTTTCTGAACAGGGTAGTTAACAGCGTGATTGATGCAGCTGGATCAAGCCCATTAAAAGCAATAGACTCTGGGAAACGGCTCGTCAACCCCGGATTGATGGTCATGAGCCGGTTAATATCTTCATCATACCCGGCCAGAATAATGACCAATTTTCGTGCATACTTCGGGTGCGTCATACAAGCGACGATTTCATCAATGGCCTCTTTGGCAAATTGCCCTTCGGCCAGTCTATATGCCTCGTCTATGAGCAGAACTTTACCAAGTGCTTTCTCGAGCAACTCCTGTGTTTTGGGGCCGGTCTGTCCGATATATTGGCCAACAAGGTCTGTGGCCGATGCTTCAATCACCTCTGTAGATGAGAGAAGGTTCATTGAGTAATATAGCTGCCCAATCTTACGGGCTGTAGTTGTTTTGCCAGTGCCTGGTCATATTGTTAGTATAATGATAGCAAGGGTAATCGGGAATTAAAGCACCTGGAGGCCCACGAAACAAAAAGTTGAATGGGATCTGTGTTCGAGGATCTAAATCCAGCGCCCTCATTCCAGTCGCAATTCGACAATATTCCTCCATCTGAGTGACAATCTTGTCACACCCAACCGTCCCTTCAAACAATTTCTTTACATTCCGCTCTGCCTGTTGTCCGCGATCATAATCCTCATCAAAGTCTTCCGGTAGAAAGTTCGACGATATACGTGACTGGCCAGTACTGATTCTTTTTTGGTGGTTAATCTTGGCTTTATTCAAGAGGATATCAATCTCACCAGCATTGCCGAAATGAGATCGATTTCGCGCTCTTCCGAGAACATCCATCGCAACTTTTCTTCCGAGACTGGTGGTATCAAACCCTTGCTGGCTCAATTTTAGATCAAAGATCTGGCCCATTTCATCGTCCGTGAAATCATGAAATGTGAAGGCCGCATCTAGAGGAAATCGTCGAGTGAGTCCTGGGTTGACATTTTGGAACATCTCCTCCATTTGATCTTTATATCCAAGGAGTAGGACGCAACGGTCATCTCCCGGAGTGCTTTGTACTTCTGCGACAATTGTATCGATGACAGCTGTTTTGTATTGGTTCGTGTGAGAGCCTGCTTTATCCTTTGTTCCTCCTCCGAAGAGTCCGTATGCCTCATCAATAACCAGGACTTTACCGACTGTCGATGCGAGAATGCCCTTTGTATTCTTTTCAGATTCGCCGATCACACTTCCCACGAAATCCGCCGGATTTTTAACAATAACTAACAAGTTAGCGCAACTTGCCCGGCAATTGTGGATCTGCCACTCACCCTCTCCATTAGATAAGAAGCCAATATCAACCAGAATTTGTCCATATAGCTTGGCTACACTCGTCTTTCCAGTTCCTGGAGATCCCAAAAATACACGATTCAAAGTAAATTCCACCAGCGGTTTCTCTTCCAATTCCCGATGATAGTTATACTGCATGCTATCCAGGAATGCCTTGATACTCTTCTTAACGGTGTCAAGTCCAATCATTGTTTGAAGTTTCTGCCACGCAGTGCAGTTCTGTAGAGCCTGTGATGGCTCAGGACCGATGAGATCTTCTTTCGTTAAAAGCATATCGTCCACTGACGCATTTTTCTTCCTTTCTCCTTTGAGCCGAGTTGCTTGTCGGTCGTATATTCTCGAGCAAACGTTCTGAATAGCGCGTGCATTACCAAATCCTTCATTTCCACGCCCTCGGCCGACGCGACGAGACACGATGCGACTGTACAGACCGCCTGCACCACTTTCTAATTTCATACGGTTCTGGTAGGTTTGACTGACATTGTATTCGAATATCCGAAGTAATTCGTCATCGGTGTAGTCCTCGAATCTAAATTCATGTGGAAATCGACTAGGTAAGCCAGGATTATGCGCGAAGAACTTCTCCATATGTGTGCGATACCCAGCCAACACAACCGCCATTTTTCCCGTGAGATTCTCAACTTCTGCTAAGAGAAAGTTCATGACTTGTGTTCCTTGGGTCTGGCCTTCAGTTAACTGGTATGCTTCGTCAATGAAAAGAACCCCACCGCCACTGTTAAGGATCGTCTTGATCTTCTTTTCGCAACCTGGTATGCCTTCGTTCGCGAGCATTGAACCGGTTGTTTCTACAAAATTGCTTCCCGGAAGAACTCCAACCGAGCCGAGAAAGTTGGCATAGAGCCGGGCCACTGTTGTTTTGCCTATCACAGGTTAGCCTGTCATTCGTATGCCCTGGCGAGAATTCGTACCAGTTCCTGGGTTCCCAATCAGGGCAGAGCCAAATCGTTCTTTACTCAGATCCACACCCTGCCGCACCGCCGTATCGACTCGGGCTTTGATAGTAAGAAACTTCTGTTTAACATCCTCCAGTCCGATCATAGCCATTAGTTTATCAATGCTGTCATTGCGTGCACCTTGAAATTGCTTCTGGTAATCCCAATCATCCTTTGCAGATGAACTGGCTGGCATGGTTGCTGGCGGGACTGGCTTTGCTGGGTTATTTTTCACAGCTCGATTTGTAGGCGGTTTAGTGGAGGTGGACGGGTGAGTACTGAATGAGGCTCCATTGACATTGCCGTTACAGTTGCTATTTGTTGTCGAGATATTGGAACCACCAACTGTGGACATATCGATGCCGGTATTGCCTTTATCTAAAGAGCCAGAAGACCTCAAAACATTGAGATCGTTCCGATGTTGAGCCAAAACTCTCTGCCGATCATCCTCTTCCTGCCTTTCTTTACACAATCGCCTCTGGTGAGAAATTTCATCCTGCAATTTGGTCAACTCCCTCATATACTCTTTCTGTTTTCTCTCCCTCTCCAGCTCGAGCTTCATATCTCGTCTTTTCTTGGCTTCCTCGGCTCGATCCTCAGCAATACATGGTTGACAAGCACCATTGACCTGGAAGCAGGGACATGTTATTTTGTGACCGCGGGAACAGTGCCATTCGGTGATTTTCTGGCATTTCATTTTGGAGTGGTCGGAGAGCTGGTGACATTTAGATGGACAGGTGTGTAATCCACAGGCCAATTTGACACCGCTATGTTGTCAGCTAGCTGGTATACGTTATCAGACGTGAAGGAAAGACTTACCAAGGGAGAGGACACCCTCCATCCGGACATTCAACATCAAACTCCTGTATTGTTTTAATAACCGCAGTCCTTGTCGGATGCTGCTCGCATTTGACCGGTAGCCCATCATACAAGTGTCCCTTCGCTTTGAGATTATTGACAAAGGGTACCCAGACACCCTTTCCCTTTCGACTGTTGACGAATGTATTTATATTCCCCACCATGATGAGAATGTTTCGAGCACGAGACAAGAGAACATTCAAACGTTGGGGGGCTGCCATAAAGCCAATATCACCCTTGGTGTTGCTGCGGGTTAAAGTTGATACTACAATGTCACTTTCTTCACCCTGGTAGTTGTCTATTGTTTGATCAGCATTGTGTAAAGAAGGGTGTATAGCTGTTTCACTTACCTATCGTTGATAGTCGAATCGGGCGCTTGGAATAATTTGCACTAGCCTGCGACAGCAGGCCAGCTTTAACAAGATCGTAAGAATCCAAGTCATTTAACACCGGATCAGTATCCTTTTTTAGCCGATCTCTCAGTAGATGTAACTGTCCCAGATACGGTGTCAGTACAACAACCTTGTCAGTTCCATACCCCTGCTGTCCTAGATATTTAACAACTTTCAAAACAACCTCCACCTCGAACAGATTTGTCTTGCTCCCTTTTGTCCCTTCATCTCGACGGTCAGAGACTTGAGCGAAGTTCGTCTCTAGATTTTCATGATGAAAAAAGATCACCCGATCCTGTAATCCGCGAGGAGCGGGACGAGACAGTGTTCCTGGCGCATCTTCCAAGTCGGGATAGGTTAGACCTCGCACCAAGCAAGAAATATCCGGGCACATTCGGTGTTGTTTAGCTAGCGTTGAATGGGGATATCCGGCCAGGACTAGTCGTTCAAATAAGGACCGATTAAGGTCATACCCATCGCCCTTTTCTACTGATAAAGCGTAGTTATTAATCTTCGGTCGTAGCTGCTGGTGATCTCCAATCAAGACTAATTGCTTTGTCTCCGAATTCAATGCCGCCATGACATGCGACTCCAATATCTCACTAGCCTCTTCAAGTAGAATGATCCCTGGAGACACTGCACGGATTTCTTCGGTGTACATGGCGGCGGCAGTGGTCGTGCACCCGATAATCCGTTTGGACTTGAGGATGGAGTTGGTTCTCTGATTCCAGACTTTCTCTATATGCTTCTGACATTGGTCGATGATGCGCGTGGATTCGTGTAGATTACTGATTTGTTCTTCAAGGATGTGATGAGACCATGTGCGGATATAATCTTGGCGTGTGGGTATATCCATTGACCAGACGCGATGAGAGTCTTCAGACCCGTCACATTTGCAGAAGTTGGGTTGGTTTCGGCCTCTTGCCCAAAGATCATAGAGATAACTCGAATTGACCTTTCTTCCATTCTCACCCACGATGTTCATCCCTTCGTTCTCCGGTGGCATGAATGTATTGTAGAAGGATGGCTCTTCGAACTCGAGAAACTCCAGCATGGTGCGTACGTCGACTCTGAACTCGATATACTTGTTGAACGCTGTCGTCAACCGCTCTTTGCTATCAGCTGCTTCGTTCTTATAGTTGTTAATCACTCCCCAAGTGCTTTGAGTGTGTTTATACGAGGAACGTTGAGCGGCTAAACTCATGGGTTGAGTGCGAGTAGTAGATTTAGATCCCAGTCTAACAATTGATGACGAGTCAATTCCAATGTCCAGGAGGTCTTCAAGAAACTGATCTAGTGCGTGGTTTGTATAACACATCACTAGAATCGCCTCCTTGCTGTGGTCATGGAATATCTTGGCCAGTAGTGCCCCTATAAAGGATTTTCCGGTTCCTAACAAGTCAGCAACAGTCTAGACTTCTTGCAGGAGAGGTTTACCTGGAGGCCCTTGTATGAGACTAACCGTCTGTGTCAAGCCAGAAACAAGTGATTGAAGTTGAGTGTGATCAAGATTCACTGGTGCTTTCGTCCCAATAAGATCCTGGAGATTACCGTTGCCCTCATTTTGTATATTCTCCACAAGATCATCTGGGATAAGGCCGGCCTTCATTGTAAGTCCATCTCGTTGAAAATCCAGCAGTTCTCGCGACAATGACAGATCAGTCTTATCCTGTAGACATTTCAAGATCGGTTCATATGCAAAGACCGCAGCATCGACAAGCAAGAACTGAATATCGTTGTGAAGTTTGAACGATGTCAATGTCTTTCTCATTGCCTGCTCCCCTAAGACCCGCATGACAAGCACTGGTATGTCAAGACAGTTGATCGACATTCCGCTCGAGAGTGGCAAATGCGATGATCTCTTTATTACGAAGCAGGCATCCGAAGGAATTATGTTTGAGATAGTTACGGTTCTCATTCAGGAATGTCTTTCGTTCGGCAGCTGGGAGACTAGAGAGGGCGTTAAGTCCTTTGGCGCAGGAAACAGCGAGTGAACAAGGACGAAGGCGTCGATCATCGCCGCAAAGAATGTTTACAATGGATAGTTTCTCAAGTAAAGATGCACCTCTTTTACCTTTCTTCTTTCCCAGGGCTATATGGATGTCATCACGGAGTTCAGACAACATATCCTCTCGCATAAGACGGAACTGATTGTCCAGATGGGCTGGGATGCGTTGTTCGGGGGACAGTTCTGATATCTGACCCGTGCGACGATAGAACGGTTTCTCCGTCGATGCGAATTCATGGGCTGTTGGATATATGGCGACCGTTCGAAAATCTGCGAAGTCATTGTCGTGCCGCCCACCAGGTGCAAAGTCGGGGCTAAAGGGTGCATTGGTTGATCGGATCATCAATATGTGCTGGATTTTATATCCGAACGATCGGACCTGCGCGGATGAAGAGAGGAGCAAGGAGCCATCATCGTTAATTTCCTGGGCGTCATCTCTAACATCGATGCTCGAAGAGGGTGGAAAGGAGAGCAACTCCACGACCATCCAGGCCAACGCGTGGATCCCGGATTCCGATAATTCCTTTTTCTTGAAACAAGCAACCAATGCCGTCCATATTGTCTTTGGCTCGACAATGAGTATTAAGATTTCTTGCAGCCATTGACCACTGCAGAGCTGCTTGATAGCAGGATCCGCGAGATAGTGAAGAAATGGCGTAGTATGTTGGTTGATAAACTGCGGGGTAACGTCGAACCGCAGCCCCGTGTGAAGAGCCCTACGTGCGTCCGGACTGGCGATGATGCGTTCAATACACGAAGCACGGTTGGATTGATGCTGGATCGATTCCAGAAACAGCTTTAGACTATCGACATTGACGATGGCCTTTTTCCCCTGGACAACCAAGTTGAAAAATCTGTGTAGTTTGGCTGAGCGCTGGGACATGGCGACCATGAATGATGCGATATGGGTGGGTAGCTTGTGTGAAAAGGGATTTCGTTGCCAGGTCATCAAGACGCTCCTGATACTTAAGGTCCCAAGAGAGGAGTGCCTAACCTACCAGGTCGTAGAAATCACAGGTCAAGAAAGAATCAATGACAGCCAATCGACCACAGACACGTCAATGCACTGTGCCACAGCGCGTCAAGCACAGAGCCTTGCGCGGCTATTCGTACTTTGGTCATGGTCGTCTGGTGTACATTCCACTACTCAAGTGGGGTAATTTCCTTATGTGGATCAGAAACTATCATCTATCATCATGCAATCCCGCAGGGGCAGATACAGTCGCTCATGGAGGGGAAACATGGGAAGGGACCGTCCATGGGGAAGACAAGGCGTCACCCAACCACCTTCTCCTCGACTCGGTCCTACCTTGACCACGATCGAGCACGATGATCTACATTTCTCAAGGAAGGACTGGAAAATCACCGACGTCCGTGATATTGCATCGTACAACTGGTTGAATCGGAAGACTGCAACCATTATGATCCCCGGTATGACCGCTGTCAAGAGATGTCCGGCCATGTCTAACTCTAGGATAGGGAAGCCACCTGCCTGGACCCCTTTGTCTGAACCGACCAAGCTCAAAGAAGACGCGGGCCAATACTTTCGTGACCAGAATGCCGCCCGATACCCCTCCTATCCCTTCCAGCCTGCAGTTGAGGCGATCTTTGAAACATATCCAGGCTTCCCCACTGCCGAAGTAGACATCGTGGGCTGTGGTAGTACATTGGGCAATCTGCTGCGTTTCGCCAGGAATATTGATAAGAAGTTTCGCTTTGTCGTGCAATGTGTGGGAAGGACCGTGTTCCTGATCCGCAGAGAGAATTCACCCACTCAGACAATTCCTGACGTTCGGGGCTACGGTCATACATTCCCAGAAGCCTATACCACGTGGGATGCAGAGGTCAAAGGGTCCGACTCACATCAGCGGATTATTCAGTATTCTCTTGGAGGATTGAACTGTCTCGTTCGATTCGAGGCGGATGGGTACCACCTTGACTTGATTGCTGAGAAAAGCCCGGGAGAACACTCTACGAAACAGGGCAGTGCTGCGCAGGATGAGAGGACGGTCGATCAACTCCTAGGTGCTTTCAATGATAGCTCAATCAGTTCATATTATTCGGCCAACAAGGCTCTGACTAGGGAAATCGGAGGAGGATACATTCCCCAGGCAGCCATCTTCGACCTTAAGACCCGTTCCATTCGCCGGAAGGAACAGGACTTCCTAGGGGAACAGCTGCCTCGGTTGTGGATCTCCCAAATTCCCAATACTGTTCTTGCCTTCCATCGTTTTGGGGTGTTTGAAGAAATACAAAAGACTGACGCTCGAGAGATGATCGGAAAGTGGGAAACCGAGGAAGAAGACAGCCTACGTAAGTTTGTGGAATTGTTGAATATGTTGGTAGCGTTTGCGAGGGGCCAGCCCGATGGTCAGTTGGAAGTGTTCCACGATGAAGGCAGTTCGGTCCTGGAGTTGAGGGAGGTTGGAGACAATGTTAATAAAGCTCTACCGGAGCAGGTTGAAGACAGGTGGGTTTTGAATGGTTGATTCAAAGGCAGAATGTTTGTTCCTGAAGTGACGGCCGAGTTGGTTTTTAATCCGAAACTTCTCAACCGCCCGTCCTGCGTCGAAGTGGTAGAGAACCTAGGTATTCTCAGTACTAGTAATACTTTTTTCAATCCATTTTGCCTACCTCTAGTTATAAACTAATGCAAACCTACCATTATCCTACTTCCAGTCGACGAAAGGATTTTGGAAGTAGGCAATGTAAACACTCATGCTGGATGCAGCAGACTGGATCGATACTTGTGTTGACAATACAACACCTAGTTGTAGACCTCTATTTTATCAATTGCGACTGGTAGATTTGGATCCGGGGCTAATCGCAATGTGTGCTCCCTTGGATGCCTTGATACCGGCTTTTGTCCTATATATGGTTGTCCCCGTATCATAATGCGAATACAAAGGCATGCTGTGATTTGACCTTCTTGTAAACGGGTTGATTTAAACAAAGGTTTCACATGGAGCAAACAATTGGATAAAAGAATTCCGTATAGTCGATATCTTAAGCCAGTAAATAGCCTTCCATTGATCCCGGAGAACATCAGAATTCAGGATGTGATTCGGTTTGTATCTCACCGTATTCACACTCTTTTCTCGTAGCGCATATAGAAACCTAGTCTCATTTGTTTGATTTCCTTCTGCTAAGGCTTATTCCAAACTACATAGCTTAGCTATCAGGCCAGTATTTATGTAACAGTCCTCTTATTATGTGAATTACACAATAGACAAGATCTAGGGTTAATCGCCAATGCAGCTTCCACATTTTGCGGGCCGTGCGTCTTGTGCTCTTGGCGACAGGGCATGGGTTGGCAATATATATTTCGTCAAATCGATAGGTTAAATTGAAGTCATGTAAGGGCTTCGTGTGTGGAGCATAGATGAATGCCATTTGCATGATAAAATTGTGCTACTACTACCAAGGGTACTTACACATCATTATCTTTAGTACCCTAGCGATTCGGGGAGGAACACATATAGATATGTTGTGGCCGAGTGTCGGTTCTGGTAGTTCGCGGGTCGGGTTTTTGGCAGGCCAACCCGCACCCGACCCGATACTCTCTACTAGGCCCAATTAGGCAAGTCCACCGCTATCCATCCGACTACCTTAACTAGTTAACTAACTAGGAGGCTATCTTACCTAATTAGGCCATCCTCTAACCTGCCTAGGCCTAGTGTTAAGACCCTTTAAACAGGATAAGGACGTCGGACAAGGGTCTTCGAACGAATAATCTCCCAATCGGGCTCGAGCTTCTTGGGTGGATGAACAATCCAAGAACCTTACCATGAGGCATGCTCCAATATAAATAGCAATGCTGGGTCGATTGTCGCCCGTTGCATCCTCTATTGCCTAGCACTGACCTCACAACTTTTTCCTTTGGTTACAAGAAAGACTCGATGATGTCCACCACTCGCTACAAGGACCCAATCCCCGAAGATGTCTGCATCTTCGCAACCCTCGACAAAGCCGCCCAAATCCAAAAGGCGCATCCGTATGCAATTTTTTATGCCGAGAATAACGGCCACTACGCCAAGGATCCTGATGGGACCGTTCTTGCCGTGGCATCAGATGGAATGTGTGAGGAGGTCAATCGCAGAAACGCCGAGTTGGAAGCAAAGATCGCCGCGGATGAGAAGCTGACGGATGAATATGCGGTTTAATCGGAGATAGGAATTTCAGTAACCCTAGAGACAGGGGTTATGCTATGCCCCTACTTATGGGACTGTGGGATGTAACCCAACGTGGTGTGATGAGGGGAAATAAATTTGAGGTAATTTGCTTGTCTCTGTCGGCTTATAGGAGAGACAATTATATCTGAACTGTACGGAATTTAATCTACCTACTTATGTCCCCTCGAGAGCACTATGCTTCCGAACACCGAAAATGCCCTCCGACAATTTACTACTTCTCACCCACATGCCGTTTTCGAGACCGCGAACGGAGGCTTCAACATGAACGATCATAATGGTCTGATATTGGTTGACATCCGGGATAACCTTAGCAAGTAAATAGACGAACAAAAAATAAATGTCCTTGGAGTTATTCAAAAGTAAATTAGCCAGAAAAGGCGTGTCGGGACATGATGTATCTAAGGCCGTAGAAATGGCCTACGGATGTTCCCATCCGATCTGTGTTTCCCCTGGTGCCCCAGGCCAGTGACAGCATTACACTAGTTGCTATGTCTGTTCTCATGGCAATCCTTTTGGGTTTCAACAACTCGAATCTGCCATTAGGCTTCTTTTGTGAACAACGAACTCCTCTCCCATTTTTGCTAAAACATGATACACCATCGGTAATATTTCACTATCTGTTCCGTCCTCCCTTTTGGATATACCGGCTAACCGTTAAAAGTACTCGGCGAAGTCATTGGTGGCCCGGATACCGTTGCCGAACGCTAGGCTATTGATATAGCCGAAAGGATTAAATACGGCCAGGTAAACCAACACCCCATTTATCCGATAGATAAATGAGCTCATGTATACACTAGATTACAGCCCTTCTCGTTCATCTTTACACCCTTACAACAACAATTATCAGTTCCAGGAGAGAAAAATGACAACGCCAACTCCACAAAACTACCACATTTTCGGCCACGGAATATCCCAGAGTCTCTCACCTACAATCCACAATGCCGCCTTTGAGCACTACGGTCTCCCACACCGATACGACATACAGGAATGCAATAGTCTTCAAGACGTCAAGTCCTTAATCGATGATCCAGCCTTCGGTGGCTCTAGCGTAACAATGCCCCATAAACTCAGCGCCGGGGAGTTCTGTGCCCAGGTCGCTGACTCTGCAACTCGGCTTGGAGCGATTAATACTCTCATCGCTCGATCGATTCATACGGGAGATGGAACTTTCAAACGTGAAATACATGGTGATAACACGGACTGGTCAGGTCTTTATTCCCTGATCAAGGAGTATACATCAGACGAGAGCAAGCCAGTTGGACTTGTGGTCGGGGCTGGAGGCGCAGCTAGAGCTGGTGTTTATGCGATGGCTCAAGCTGGGATCAAGCGGATCTACGTTGGGAATCGGACGTTGGCCAAGGCGGAGCAAATTGCAGAGGATTTCGGGGATATGTGCCAGGTTATACCGGTTCAGTTTCCATCGAGGTTGCCGGAGGATCCGGAAGTGATTATTGGAACTGTTCCCGGGGATGCTATGTCGCAGGAGGCATTCCAGGGTTTGTTTGGGAATGAGAAGGGTCTTTGTATTGAGATGGCGTATAAGCCGAGAGTGACGAATTTACTGGCAGTGGCTAAGGAGAACACCGGATGGACTACGGCGAATGGGGTAGAGGTACTTCTTCGACAGGGCTTCGAGCAGTTTCGGTTGTGGACGGGCTTAGATGCACCGGAGGTCGTTATGAGGAAGGCTATTGAGGTTGTTACAGGAAATAAGGTTGGAGGGACATCGTCATTGTAACATAAAACACGAATCATTTGTATCGAGCAGATAGAACATGACTATATATGTGGTGATACCACTTTGATATGATATAGAAGAATAATGTTGCCTTACAGAGGGTAACATCGACAGCCTTTCTTTTCTGGACCTAAATGTACGTCTCCTTCTATTGTAGTCACCCACGGTGTCAATTAATTAATTAATCAAAATTCTATTAACCTGTTCAAGCCTAACTAATGAAATGTCTAGCTATACAGATGTCTTATTAGTAAAATAGAATTCTAATCTAGTATATCTAAATTCTATAAATCTATATATATAGAGAAGATTAGACTGGTATTTGGCCAGGTTAGGTAACTTAGGTTAGGTTAATGGGGTCAGTTATATCTAACTAGTAACTACTAGGTTATGATTTATAAAATTATTAAATATTAATTATAGATTAATTTATAATTATTAATTTAATTACTATAATTTAATTTACTTTAATCTATAGCTAGGTTACAGCGGTTAGGTTATGCCACTCTACATAGAAATAGCTTCGAAGGACCAGAGTCTGCAATTGTACTCCTAATTTATCTATTAAAATTATTTAAATTAATTAATTAAAGACACTAAATAAGCTATAAATAATATAGTAATATTTAAGTGTTAATAGCAACATTAGGCTATACATAAAAAATAGATAAAAATAAGCGGGTTTAAGATTCATAAATATAACGCTACGGCCCATTACTAATTAGCCTATCCACCGGTTGAAGAAGGAAGGCATTTACACATTGTTAGGTGGTCAATATCATCTCTGAATCTGTCCCTTATAAACGTTTGCTATCCCATCCCGTCCGCCATTCTTCCTATGCTGGTCTGTTTTTTCCTGAATTGTCACTATGGTATGTATCCCACGGGCAGATGGATCGAGCATACACATCTCTACTCCATCTTCGTGGTGTTGAAATCCTCGCTGCCCAGCATTTGTGGCAAACACAGTCCCATATCAGCGTTGAAATGGCTGAGATCGATATCAGATACGGCACTGGCTAGCAGATCTGAAGGACACGCCATGGTGGGGCTACGGGGATCAATTCAACCCCCAGCTGAGTCCAGCTAAGTCCAGCCACATTTCTACGCCCAGAGAATATTGAATAAACAGAAAATAAACCTTAATCTTCGATGATGGTCATACTGGTTACGACATACAACACAGGGTATGTCAGCCTGTCGACTAGGTAAGGGAAACAGCTAGAGGGTGAGGTATATTGGATCAACGATAACAGCTGGATTGGCTACAAGACTGATCCTTGGGGAAAAGAAGCTAGATACAATAAGTAAGGTCCTTTTTAACCCTCTTCGGGTCCATAAGGCCCGGTGCCCTAACATGGCATATGCATCATTCGTGGTAAGGCGCCGCTTCATGATTTCAAAGCCCTTGCTCAGCTGCTTGCTGAAGAAGCTGGACGAATTTGTCCATATCTCCGGTGTCGGCAGTATCCAGCTGTGTGTTTTGACTGAAGAGGATCGTCACAGGCACTTTGCTCGGGGCGTTTGGAACAGGGATTCGGGAAAGATCAACAAAGAATGCCTCAAGCTCGCTACCGGGATAGTTTCCCGACTCCAAGATTTGGAATTCCGGGGTAGGTGGACTTGCTTCTGAGTCCCAGAAATGGACGATAGTGGGCTGGGGTCTGCTGATGACGTGCGCATAAAGCCCGGGGCTGGATTATTGTATTAGTCTCATAGAGAGTGTTTGCGTTATTAATGAAGAGGACATACTCAAGGACAGGAATGAAAGGCATTTCGAAGGGTCGGTTCTACTGGTTTGTGTTTGGTAGGTAGGAGGAACAAGTGGCAGTGAGTTGAACGAAGATGGAGGGTTGAGGAGGTAAGAGAGGGGTATAAATAACCAGATAGCAAAGAATAGTCTGTTCTTTCCGAGCTGAGCTGAGAGTTCAACTAGATATCACTAAGTGGGGTCAGTATGAGCTGGATAGCGGGGTTTTCAGCTGAATGCAGATCACACAAGCCAGCTAAACAGCCTGGCCTACTATGGTCCCCAACAATAAACCGGCATGATACATTAGTGGGTTAAAAGTCTCGCCATACTTGGCAGAACGCGTACCGCGCCAAAAGACAACAAAAACATCTACTATACGGTCTACCGCCTTCTTCCGTCCGCTCAATTTGAATGCATCGCGATTAAGCTCCAAAGCAATTAGATCGCAACACACATGAATGTTGGCTTACGTATTATTCTCACTACATTCGAGAAATCTCAGTTTACAACCCAGGAGTGTCCGAGTTTAAGTGCCCAATTATCTATTTGTTATTGTCTGTTAGATCCTCGATTAATTTCCTGTATGTATAAGGACTAGATAGTGCAACCTTGCATATCGCCTGGGCGAGGGGTCAGCGTATGAATTCAGCCAACCAACCGACTTTAGGAGGGGAGTTTGAAGGTTAAGGTGAGGAAGTGCCTTGGGTGGTAACGGACATCTTTAGCCAAATATGATTTACATCTTCTCTTACTCACCCCTTTGCTCGGGGAGCAGGCGAAATAACTTTTGCCCAGGCTCAGGGGGATGCTGAGGTATTAGGAAATGCATATGACTTTCCTGTCTTCATTTCTGGGGTCTTGGATCCTTGATGACCCACTCAAATGCTGCGGGCCTGTAAGCGAACTGGTTGAGATATCTTCGTTTGAAGATAGACGGTTTTCTATGGAAATCAGAGGGCTCAGAAAAACATGAAAGAGTATAGATAGAGACACCTACTAGTATTTCCGGATGCCCTATGTAGATACGTTAGTCTATTGGAGTGCGTAACAGTGTGGGTCTCATAGCAAAATGATTTTCAAGGCATCGATCTGTGGTGGCTGTTAACATGAAGAGCTGAATAGCGGGGTAGTTAAGCAGCCAATTATTCTACTTAAGTAGGCCAATAATGCTCCACACAAGGCACATTCCAGTATGGTAAAGGAAGATCTCCAGTTAGCGGCAAGTGCGACTTCAGTCCTGTTTAGTGATCCACTTTGAATCATATAATGAATTATATCAAGTTGTGGGGCTTTCAGCTTCGCCTTCCATGTCGGAAACAGAGATGCTCTTTCAAACCCTAGTCATATGATACATTTAAGTAGCACGTTCTGTACATAACCGTAATAATACAAGTTCACGCTTTATTGGGCGTTTTGCTGTTCTTGGCACGAAAAATTGGTTTTGCCGATGTCAACTGACAGCAGATGCCCACCCTTCTAGTGAGGCAGTCACAGCCATACACCTTTCCTACTGCTGTGGTCTGTGGGTACTAGTGGCTTAGATATTCAGCTGAGAGCTGTCTTCATAATTAACTTTATTACAATTAATTAGTTAAGGTATATGACTCTCTGGAAGGCGATTTGGCCAGTAGTATGCTGTCTATGTAGTACACAAATTCGCCAAAACTTTTGAAGACTATCTTAGGTATAAATCCTAGCCAAATGACCAGAAGTCAAGGTCCACTTTTTTCTACTAGTGCTGTTAACTATTTGGGACTGCTGATATCTATTAACGAAATCTAGGGGGTCTGCGCAAAATGAATATTCAAAGCTACGTAGTCAGAAATCAAAGTGTAGATCGGCTGTACTAAAATGGGTATATCATAATGAACTAAAAATATGTGCTTATCACTAATTGCCCTATTGGCCCCGTATATAGCACACAATGTACAATCCGAAGTCAAATATAAGGGAGTGTTTAGGACCATAATTACAAGTATAATAAGGTCATGATTATATTCAATACCTGACCTAGAATAAGTTTATTCTTTCAGACCTTGGTCGTCAGTGTTCAGTACACAATTTATACACATCCTTATACTTCTTTTCGCTGCTGCTACGGCGCTGCCTACCAATGGAGAAGGGGAAGACCGTAATGAAGAGACAGATGAGTCGTAGTCTAAAATATGGAGTGTTGACATTACAAAAATAGTGTTAGTGATGTGTGTGGACAGGATGTAAGTGATGGTTCCTCGTCTGATATTGTATAATGACTACAAGAACACCGCACCGACAATGGATATGGATAGGGCATAAGTGATGGTTTCTTGTCTGATATTGCATGATGACTACATGGACATGCCACTGATAATGATGGTCGTGGTTAGGCTGTAAGAGACACCTTTCACTGTTATCTTATCATTCACTTCGCGCAGAACTCACACTATCTTCAGTGAGCACGGACAACGAGGACTCCCAGTCATCACTATATTACTGGTTTCTGACCTAGACAGACGCACAACTCTTCGGTTAGCTACAAGCAGCTGTTTGTATACATTATCTCAATATAGGCTTTTTCCTGCCAAGAGCAGGTTTCCCTATATCATATTACAAATGTAGAGGTGTTCTTTTTCCGTATGGTTGTAAATTAGAAATCACGGTGGATCCAAAATTCACCCTAAACCCCAAGACGCCTCCCATCCAAGCTGTCGATCCCACCATTTTTTAGATTACCAGCAATGTAAATGCATAATAGCTTTGTGACGGTTAGATACTATCCACACCGAAATCACATGACCAGAGCTTTTTCCGGAGCTAATCATTATCGTCAAAGCGTGTCTTGGCAGGCACTAAATTAAAGAGCAATAAAAGTGTTGAAGTGTAAGACTGACTTCGCACTCCACTGTATGCAACAACGATGTGTCATTGGAAAGACAAGGTGAAGCGGATCCAATCATTGACCTCATGAATGAATTTGCTCTCAGCAGTCTTCTTAAACGAGGCACAAAGACATGGCAAGGTAGAGGACAGGGTGGAGATTATAAATCCACGATCGACCTTGTCCTTGTCTCTGAGTATCTGGCAGAGTCTGTAGTAAAGTGTACAATATATAGGACTGAACACAGCTCTGACAACTATACGATTGAGACTGTTTTTGAAATCCCGAGGCCGATATCAAAATATCCGGGGCGACTTCTGCTTAAAAACACACTATAGAAGAAGATCAATACCAGAATCGCAAGAACACTAGATATCACACTATCAGAAAATACAGTATAGCAGACCGACTAATATCACCAGTACTGGAAGCAAGTTATATCTTAACACTAAAGCCAAACCGTCACTATACACAAAGCAATAGTGGACAACGGAGTTGACACAGCTCCGTTATATATAGATATACTGGAGAAATCACACCCCCTCAGAGTAACAGAATATAGTAAATCTGGGAGGGAGAGCAAAAAGCGCAGAAAAGTAATATTACAATACTATCCAGTAATAAAAGAAGTACTGGAATAAATTCCTGGCAGGGGGGAAATTTCAAAAATTCGTTCTGCATGGAAGTTGTTGTTTTTCGTCCACGGCGTGTAGTGCAAGTTACAGCCCTTTAGCAGATGGTACGGTAGATCATATACACAATCTATATCTCCACCTAACACTTTCGGAACATTCTGAACTATACTGACAAAATTAAGAGATCAATGCTAACCAAGTAGATAACGGTGATTTGCCGCCACGGAAAGATAATTGATGGAAGTACAAAACCCTTAAATCATTCACAGTCTAACAACACACGATATACATTTACCAAGCAACATCCTTTCCGTCCATCCAATCCCGGGCCTGGAAATAGAGCAAATCATGCTTTTGCCCATTGATCGTCGACCCCTCCCTGCGGTGGCCAGGTAAATCCAAGAGCACCTTCACCCCCATGGTTTCCTCCTGCATGTAGGCTAAATACCTATACCCCGGAGGATACTTCTGCAACCTCTCCTCGTCCAGAACGGGGATCCGTCCCGGATTAACAGGAATTAGCTTATCCTTCTCGTACCAATGCCGAACAAACCGAGCCCGCCACTGTCCCTGCAGATCAGGATAGGCAGGGTCCGACATCTTCTCCCAGAAAAAGATAAACCGACAGTCACTTTCCGCATCAGCTTCGCATGTCCCGCCAGATACACAGCTGACGTCGCTGAACCGCTGTGTGATGGTGGCCTTCATCTTTGTAACGGCACGTGTGGCATTCGGGTCGATGTCAGTTGTGCTTCCGTGGATTCGATGCATGATGAAGGCTCCCTTGTCCATTCCGGCTTGGGAGGCTTCAATAAACTTTAAGTGGTGGGTTAACCCCGTCCAGGTAGTGTAGATGTGTGCCTCCGGGTGGAAGATGGAGCGTAGGTTTTCCCATTCGCAGGCGTCGCGATAACATGGCCATCCTTCTGCTAGTTCGCGGAGCATATACCGCTCCAGGGCTAGTTGGGGAGGTCCGTTGTTGCGGATGGCATTTTCGGGCCGTGTGCCTGCAGGGAGAGAATGGAGGTCGGGCATTTTGAAGAACGATATGTACGTGTGATAGCAGGTGCAATTTTGTTGGAATTTGGAAGGGGCAAGGCAATCAGCGCAAAGAGACAATAATAAATAAGCATAAAGTGCGGCACTGTATTTCTAAGGACCGTGACGCATCAATGTATGGTGGTCGGTTAAATCATCCCCTGATCGGCTGTATCCACAACCGATCAGTTGTGCATAAGAAGATATGGTAGCTTCTACCACAGCTTATATTAATCTACACGGATAAGCATTCCTTCGATTAGTTGAGCATCTCTTCATTCTCATCTTGCAAAAATGCCCTCAGAAACAGATACTCGTGTCTATGCATACCTTGTCGGTGTCGGTGTGACCCACTCTATCGCTCCACTCATGCACAACTACATTGCACAAGCACTGGGCCACGACTGGAAATTCCTCGCGAAAGAGTGTCCGACAGTGGAAGATGCTGTTCAACTATTTCGACGATCCGACTTCGCCGGTGGAGTAGTGACCATGCCTTACAAGCGCACCATCATGGACCACCTCGACGGTCTGGACGAATACGCTATCCGGCTGGGGGCATGCAACAATGTATACCGGACGGCCGACGGAAAATTAAGAGGCACCAACACAGACTGGCGCGGGATTAAGGGATGTCTGCTCGGAGCGAGCGAAGCAGGCAGAGGAAAGCCGGCGGTGCTCATTGGCGCTGGGGGAGCTGCGCGGGCGGCGATTTTTACTCTATACGACCAACTGGAATGCCGGCAGATTTATCTTGTCAATAGGGATCGCGATGAAGTTAAGGGCCTCTTGGAAGAAGCGAAACGGGTGTATGGTGACGGCTTAGACATCATCTACGTGGACCGCATCGAGAAGGTCCAAGGTCTCGCCTCGCCGTACTACATCGTGGGCACTGTTCCGGATGCCGAGCCCAGCACCCCCGACGAGGTGGAAGTTCACCAGATTATTAAGTCATTTTTATCCACTCCCCAAGAGAAGGGTGTTCTACTCGACATGTGTTTCAAGCCACGAAAGACACGCATCCTGCAAGCTGGGAAGGTATGTGGCTGGAAGACAGTTGAGGGCACTGAGATTATCGGCCACCAAATTCATGAGCAGTACCGACTATGGTGCGGTGAGAAAGAAAGTAGCCAAATACCTGTGAGTGAGGCATGGGCAGTGCTTCGAAGGGCAGCAGAAGAAAGTCCGGCAATCAATTTCTAAGTTAAAGAAATTTCCTTTAGCAATATGCATCTCAAATAGACGATCGGGCATTTTCCGATTATTAAAGTTCGGTTAAGAATAGTGCCGTTACCAACACATATATAAACGGGACTAGTGCCTCGGATCATAGTATACATTCTATTATGATTGCATTTATCTGTTTGCACGTATTTCACAGTTGTACCATCACTGCTTAAAACGTCAAAATGCCTTGTGCGCCAGCAATCGCCTCCATGTCCTTGGGGAGGGCTTGGGTACATTCCCTCCCCGAGAAGCTCGCCCAGGCATCCAAGGCAGGGTTCAAAGGTGTCGAAATATTTTACGAAGATTTGGAATATCTCGCCAAAGAAAAAGGGCCCGTAAATGATTCAACGTTACTTGCTGCTGCCGAGGAAACTAGAGCCATTTGCGACCACTGTGGCCTAAAAGTGATTGGAATGCAGCCGTTCTTATTCTATGAAGGTCTAACGGATCGCGCTCAGCACCGGGAAAAGATCGAGCGCCTTAAGCTGTGGTTCGCCATTGTCAAGGTTCTGGGAACTGATATCATCCAAATACCTTCTAACTTTCAAACCGAGGGAATATCAGGTGACCTGGATTTGATAGTTGCCGACATGGTTGAAGTCGCAGACCTGGGATTGAAAGAAGAGCCAGCGGTCCGGTTTGCATATGAAAATCTCGCCTGGGGTACTTTCATTTCAACGTGGGAAAATTTATGGGAGGTGGTTCGGCGAGTGGACCGGCCTAATTTTGGGTGTTGTCTGGATACCTTCAACATCGCCGGACGGGTATGGGCTGACCCCGCCAGCGCCTCTGGTAAGACACCAAATGCAGATGCGGAATTGACCGCATCCATCCAGAACCTTGTTCAGACGGTCGATGTGAATAAGTTGTTTTACGTGCAGGTCGTGGACGCAGAAAGAATGCAAAGTCCGTTGATAGAGGGTCATCCATTCTACGTTGAAGGACAGCCAGCGCGGATGAGCTGGAGTCGGAATGCGAGATTGTTCCTTTATGAACAAGAGCGGGGTGGCTACCTGCCAGTGGTACAGGTGGCTGAAGCATTCTTAAAAGGCCTTGATTTTGAGGGGTGGGTGTCAATGGAGTTATTTTCGAGGTCGATGGCCGATCCGGACTCAACAGTGCCCGGGACACATGCACAACGGGGCATCAAAGCCTGGAATAGGCTGGCAGAGGAACTAGATCTCTAGGGACTCTCACAGTGTATCTACTATATAGACGGTATTACCTGGTTGAATGCATATTTTGAAGGATTACATATTAGCATCAATCATGAGTTGGTTGCTGCAGCTCGGCAACAAAGTCTGTCACCAGGTCTCCTGCGTGGAAGCCGAGGTTTTGCGCAAATGTAGGTTCGTGACTGTATAGTATTAGCATGGGCTGTTACGGAAGATGCCCGGCACAAAGCATACCTCAGTGGCGTTATGGAAGCAACCATCTCTTCAAATAACGCGTCAAAGTTTCCGGTTTCATCTAATATATGGGGCGTTTGTCGAGGAACAGGAGAAATGGGAGTAGAAATAGTAGGTGCCACTGTCATGTCAGGTTTGTCAGAGAGACCCGAGACCAGGTAGCTCTGAGAATCATGGATGCTGGTAGGATTGATGATGGGGGCAGTTGTACGACCATGGGCCATGTTCACAGGTAAACCAGCAGTGTATGTATTATCAAACACTTGGATTGTAGGAAGAAAATGATTAAAGTCCTCTATATTCCAGCCCGATCGCGAGTCGCGTATATACGACCTGTTTAATCTCGGGGGACTGGCCAACTTCAGTTTACCCATAAGCTGACTGAGGCGTCTTTGGAGCACATCTTCTTCACCACAGCGGCCAATCAGAATGCTCGTGCGTAGACATCGTTGTGCCTGGAAAAAGAACCAATACAGAAGGGGGGAAGATTTCGTTTCGCTTGTGATCTCAATATATCGATCAAGTAGATCAAGGCACGTCCGTAGGGCATGGAGTGCCATAGTGGTAATGGTCGCATCGTCGAAGTTACATTTGCTAACCAAACACAACGTAACAAATGATGAGGTTAGGTGTAAATTTAGTAAAGGAGGATTTGGTGAGTGGCGTGGGGGATATGGGTAGCGTGTTAGAAGAACCGATTGCCAGTCTCTCAACTTGGAAGCAATGTGCTGTATGTTCTCTTGTCCAGATGGACGGTACAAGACTTCGGTTAATAATTGCATAAGTTCATGGACCAGGTTAAACATGCTCAGGGCTCGCAATGGCCCCTTCTGAGTGGTTTTTAGACTCGGGGCTTGATCACAAGATGTCCACGTCTCCCATTCCTCCAGATCATCCTCAGCGATGGGTTTGTTTTCACTCTGTTCTTCCAATGAGAGACAAGGAGTTCTGTCGAGAAGTGCGGAAACCATGTTATCAAGAAACACACAACCTTGGAAAACGTGCCCGTATCTCTGGTTTCTGGCTGGTTCAGGGAGGGTAACGACGATCCTCATAGCCTGACCAACGAGCACCCAGGCTTGGTTTAAGTCTCCACGTCCAATATTCAGAAGAGCCACAATCAGTAGGGTCTGAACGTGGCTCAACTCTAGATTGTTAAAATCCAGCATCAGGCGCACGCGTATGGCGGCTTCTATATGTTTCGGCTGTAGACAAGCTTCCATACTTGCAGTTTCTCTCATCATGCGTACGTATGCAATAATAGCCCACAGGACTACTGGATAGCTTGCACTACGATTCTTTGCGGAAGGGTCGCCGTGCATAGTCCTTAAAATGTCGCGTCGGTCAAGTATAGGGAACCAGCACTGAATGTGAGCAAAGTAGAAGTCTACCAGCTCTGCCACGTCGCCTGGGAATGGCAAGTTTAAGATATCATTAGATGCCGTTATATGTAATGCAGATGCAGGTGGAGGTTGGATGGAGTACGTATCAGTACTCGAGGCATTCATTGGGGTGTGACTTGTCCTCTCTGGACTACGCGTGTCGCATGACTCCCATTGGTGGTACTCATCATCATCATCACCGAGTGGATCGTATATATTCTCTTGCGACCCAGGTGCTAATAAGCGATTCACACCTTTCGCTACTTTTGAATTGCGCCATATCATTGTATATTTCTCTACCGACTCGGTGGCGAGAAAGCTGTTCTGATGTTGAGGATCACGAAGAAGGCTTTGGACGGCGCTTTCACTGTCAGGGATCTGCTGAAAAACAATTCCAAGTACAGTCTCAAGGGTTTTCACGTAGCCAGTTTGCAATCCACGGCGTCGACCGTTGTCCTGGTATGTACATCGCCGGCCGGCTTGGAGGCAGATCGCACACCCTGGTTGCTCCCCGTCGCATTTGGATTTGCGTCGGCGGCATTGGTCACAAGCACGACTAATCCGCTGGCGTTTATTTGAATGAGGTCTTGGCATGACTTTAAATATGCTAGACCAAGACCCTCAGCATGAGATGCTCGCTAGTTGAGGTCATCGTCGTCATTTCCAAACGAGGAGGATATCGATCAGGGCACGTGATCGGCTATGGAATTAACCGATGATAAATCCGAAACTCGAAGATCAAGAAGATCCAGACGAGCGAGCACGTCGTGTATGTGTTCTAAACATGTGATTGTTTTTTTACTGTACGTATACTGACGATGAGCTTTCAAACAACTCGTAGCAATGAGCAATATGATGGACTTCCTTGGTCTTCTCGACGATACAGCTCGGACGCTAGCTTGGTGCTGGTTGGATTTCCCGGGGCGGGCAAGAAAACCCTAGGGATCATGGCAGCTGTGGCGTTGCGCCGACAGCTTGTTGACTATGCCGCTATATTTCAGCGAAGGCACGGCATGTCTCCACATGGTTACTTTGCCGCACATGGCTCGGAACGATATCGCAAACTCGAGCTAGATGTGACCCAGGAGATATTAACAGAGCATCAAAAAGGTTGTGTGATTGTCGGACTCGGCTGGCTGGCAAGCAGACAACAGCAGGTTCTGCTGGAGGAGTTCGCCTCTTGTCACCCAGTTCTCTACATTCGACGGGACCGAAGCGATTTACAGCAGCTTATCGCGACTAGCCAGGACAAGTTCGAGCGCATGTGGGAGGCTGGAAATTCGTTTTTTGAATCGTGTTCCAACCTGGATTTTTACAACGTGACAGAAGGGTCGGTCGGTGAGGCTTGTTCCACACTACCTGCGTATTTGAAGTTGAAAGAGACGGAGAGAATGTTCGTAAGGTTCCTGCATCGCATCTGGGGCCGTGAACACCGGACTCGTTTTTCGGCGGATCCCTTCTCTGCGTCGTACACGTATGCTTTGCAGGTGCCATTGGCTTGCTTAGAGGGACAACTCGAAAATTACGAGGAGCTCGAGAATGGGTCGGATGCAATAAACCTGAAAGTTGAGCTTTCTGGTTCTCACGACAGAAGGCCATCCGAGTCAATGGCAAGGGCCGTATCCATGCTTAGGAGGCACTCGCGGGCTCTGGTAATCGTAGATATCAGTCCGTCCTCGGTACCAGATATATCGAGCTATCGCGTGCTGCTAGGAATGGCCTTGAGGACCATGCCGGATGCTATCACTTACTCCATGTCTCATGGAAATGATCTGGCGCAGGATGTAGTTGCTGCTAAGGGTTATATCATGGCCATAGGCACGTATCATCAAGAGTATCCTCTGGTGAGGAACGAGAATCTTCCGCAGCTATTCGCCCTTCGTCATAAAGCGCAAAGTATTGGTTTCGACGCACTCCGTATAACCGGCGAATCAACAGCAGCGGGAGACATTCTTCCCGGTATACCCATTCCGCAGAGTCTCGCCAAAGACGCTCTCATACCCATCATCGCATACAATACAGGACTATTTGGACGCACTTCGGTTTGCTTAAATCCAACCTTGTCACCGGTAGTTCTCGAAAGCAAGCGTTCAACAGGCGTCACCTTGCGGGAAGCAGAGATGGCGGTCTCAGCATGCTTCCTTCGTCGCCGGAAACGATTCGGCATTTTTGGGCAACAGTTATCGCACACTTTATCACCTGCGATGCACAATGCCGCGTACGCTGCGTGTGGACTACCGTTTACATATGACACAATGGAGCGACAAAGGCTATCTGATATTCGCGAAATCTTGGATGACGAGGGTTATGGAGGCGTGGCGGTATCACTTCCATACAAAACTGAAGTTCTTCGCTACCTAGACGAGATATGTCCAGAAGCACTGGACATCGACGCCGTGAATACGGTGGTATTGCATCAGGAATGCCAGCCCAATGGATTGCAGAAAGTCATTCGCAAAGGCTACAACACGGATTATCTTGGAATCAAAGATTGTATCTACAAGCACCTTTCCCCAGCAAATGCCATCCGTGACGGATCAACTGCCCTGATACTTGGTGCGGGCGGCATGGCCCATGCTGCAATCTATGCGTGTTACCAGCTTGGTGTGAAGCGCATATGTGTCTATAACCGGACCCCTTCCAATGCCCAACGACTTGTCGACTACTATCGTGAATGGGTGGAATCAAAGAATAAGCCCGCTTTACACCTGACCATACTCTCCTCGGCGGATGATCCATGGCCAGCGCACCTTCGCCAGCCCACAATCATTGTCGCGTGTATCCCTGGGCAGGGGTGCGATATCAAGTCATCGCACTCTTTGCATATCCCCGATCGGTGGTTACAAAGCAAAACTGGTGGTGTCTTTGTTGAGGTAAGGCATTTGTATAGTTACCAGAATATCGTACGCTAATATCTATAGGTCGCCTATGACGCCCTTGAAACGCGACTAATGAAGTCAATGAGACCACATGTATCACGAGGCTGGATCATAGTTGATGGCCTGTCGGTCTTAGTCGAGCAGGGCATTGCGCAGTACGAGCTCTTTACGAAACGACCGGCTCCAGTCCATGTTATGAGACATGCCATTCAACAGTCGATCCGAGAGAGGGCTCTTTAATCTCTTATGCAGATGGCAGTGACATATTAATTTGGTATCTCCATGATTAGCGCAACAGACGACGGCCTTCCTATACTCATGCTACTCAAATGAAACCAATTCCATACAACCTCTTCCCTAACTATATTCAATTATACATACAAACACACATTCACATAACCCTACTAACAATGCATCAATCAAAATTCTATTAGCCTGTTCGAGCCTAACTATTAAATATCGACATATACAGACACATTATCTATAAGACAGAATTCTGGACCAGAAGAACTAAATCCCACAAACCTATATATATAAAGAGAGAGAGAAGATAATGAAGAAAATACTTTTAATCATAATCGAATTATATACTACACCATATAGTCTTTCCCTTTGACATTCTATATCGATAGCTATCTTCTATTACCTGGCTCATCCAGAAAGCTAACATGGGCTTCCAAGGATCTTGATTACTTTTTAGAACGAGCCCATATCAGGCCGATGATGAGTCTCAATGCCTGGAACATTAAGCAAGTCCTTTTATCTATACTAGGCTCTTCCGACTCGTCATCCCGGGCTCCTAAGCATACTAAAAATATGGAGGCCCTCTGCTTCCGCCCTTATGATAGGCCGGTCCAATTTCTTCCATACTACCTCCCATACCGCCGTCAAAAGCCTCTTTATAACAACCTTCAAACCAAGCGCCGTCATAATTACTTTCTGATCCATCATTCTCAACTCGCCACTGTCTCACCACATTCCCATAATCATCTAAAAATACATGCAATATACCTCCACCCTTGAGCGCCACCTCATCCTCCACAAATATATGAGTAACAACACAGGCAGCGTGCCAGCGGGAATACCTCATCAGTGGGTTCTTGTCTAACCTCTCTTGACCTCTCGCTAAAAACTCTTTAAGCTCATCCGAGTAGTTCTGCGCACTAGGACATGGACTTTCTTGCGCAGCCTCTACCATCTCTCTGAACTCTGCATCTCTGAATTGAAGATCAACAGGCTCATTCGTAACACGCTCTGGAAAGACTTCCAGGGCGGCTGCCAAATCTAAGCCACCGAAGATGCTTTCATCGTCGAGTACTATCCCGTCATAAGTAACCCATTCTGCCTCTTCATTTTCGGCCCAGAGAGCCTTATGCGCCTCTTCATCAGTGTAGCAGAGGCGAAGCCAAAGACCCGATAAAGATCCGGTGTCATCAGCGTAGGCGCGTAGCGCCTCGGGGCGTATAGGCCGAAGGATCTCGCCTATTTGGCCTTCAGTTGGAGTAGGTGGCGATTTCTGATAGTAAGGCTATCAAGGTGGCATTGACTCGGGGGTCAGTTCCGAGGTATGATCCTCACATTCAGTTATGATAGGAGGCACATACCTGTCTGCCTTCGAACCCCAAAGCGAGAAATTGGCGAACAAGCCGTTTGCGACGGTCTGCGGGGGACTCGTTGGATTGTGAGGGATCTGGGTGGGGCTTTTCCCATTCGGAGAGGAAGTAGACTTCCAAGGGAAGTTCTCCCCAGGGAGGTTGTTTTGGTTGTCTGTCGTCAATCTTATGGACAGGCATTTTGTATGTATTCAGTCCCTCCGCCGCTGAGGACGAAGGATTGAAAGGAATATCTGTGTTTCCAACATCCAGTGTCCCGCTAATTTCGTGTAAAATACAACATCAATGGTACTGAAGCCGTATTTCAAATATACATAGACCATTGTAGAAAGCGGTCTAGGTTAATGCTCAAAACAGGATCCAATCAAAACTCGCCTCTTTAGGGCTCATTCTCCGGAAATCAAGTCGAAAGAAACTGAACGCGAAAACTGCTGTAAGCGGGTTTCACGTAATATATTAAACTGAACCCCGCACGATATGATCTTTCAATACAATTCCATACTTTTGAAACAAGGCTAAGCGGGATGCAGATTAGCGTGTTTCGAAGGAGGCATTCGAGAAAGAAAGCTATTAATTCAGTATCGTCCTCTACAGAATCCTTCCCCGGATGTAACACTACAAAGCTTAATAAATTAAAAGATCCATATAGATTTAGTTATACTCTTCCGGGGCTATATTACAGTGATATAGACGTTATAGAAAACCTATATAAACTACGATTTCTTTTTCTCTTCGCAGAAAGAAAAGTATCATAGAAAGTAGTTGGTGATAAACCTACAAGTTAAAGAGTAGTATGGCCAATCTACTAATACTAACACCACAGAACGTGAGGTATAGCCATTTCAGAGGTGAAAATAAGGAGTTTGCTTTGGATTATCCTCCTTCTTCTTGTGTTCACTGAGTACCTCTCCTGGCCGGCTTGGCCTACTGTAGAATGCCATAACTAGTCCGCCATTGTGTTGAAGTTAAGGACACACATACTCCTTACATAAATTTAATCTTCCCAATGTCATACAGTACAAGTATAGATATCCCTTCCTGAACCTTCTATAATGTTCTGCGTAGAGGTTATTCTTTTCTAACCATACCAATCACTTCCTCTTCGCAACCACCAAATTCTCCAACGCATGCTTCACAGCAACCTGATACCCAAAAGTCCCCAACCCAATAATAATAGCCGCCGCCTTATCCGACAAATAGCTATGATGCCGAAACGGTTCCCTGGCATGAACGTTGGTAATGTGGACCTCAATAAAAGGAAGTCCGACCCCAAGCAATGCATCCCGCAATGCGACACTAGTGTGTGTAAAGGCACCCGGATTGATGACGACCGCCTGGACCTTTCCTCTTGCTTCATGGATGCGGTCAATCAGCATGCCTTCGTGGTTGGACTGTAGACATTCTACGTCCGCGCCGTAGCTGGCTGCTAGTTCTTTGGCGGCTGTTTCGACGTCGCTGAGGGTTGTTGTTCCGTAGAGGTGGGGTTCGCGGGTGCCCAGGAGGTTGAGGTTTGGGCCGTTTAGGAGGAGGATTGAGGGCATTTTGGATTTTTAAAAGCGTTCTTTAGGTTCTTTTTTCTTGCGGTATGGAGACGGGTGTAAGGTGTAGAGTGTATTATAGATGGTTTGGTGTTGGATGTACGGTGGTGGATTGAACCGTCGGGTATTGATTGAGCCGATAGAAGTACTCCGTACTAGTACGTCGAGGATGGTTTACCTATTTACTGGCTGAGGTAGCTTTTTAGACTTTTAGTATCGAAAACTTTATTCTAGTATATCCACTATAACTACAGAACACATATTTCTTGACCACAATATGAAGATAGAAGTTTCCTTGTGTTTCTTCACATCACGGCATCCTGAGCTTCAGCGTGTATAACTTATGATTCATATATTGAGACTAAACACTAAAGAGCTGGCACTGCGGCAGTAGAATTTACCCTTTCATGCCATGTGTTTCGCTGTTAAAGACATGCGTGCCCGCCGGGACAGCATAGATTGTATAGGACTTGTCCACACGGACAAACCTAGCCCGCTGCGATGCTGTTACATTGCCGACTGAAGGCAAACGCACCTCTGCCTCAACATTTGCTGGGACTGTTACTGTGAGATTAAAGTTACCCTCTGCAGTCCTTTGCCACTCACAGCGAGCCTCTCCCTGCAGCATTTGGTAAGAACCACTAGCGCTCCTCAGATCCCCGACCAGCTTAGGCTGGAAGATCAGCCAATCCTCCCATGTAGAGCTGATGGTAGTTAGGGCAGTGGGCTGAATGCCTACCACTCCAGCGTGGAGCCACTCGTCGATCTGCGCAAGAATCATGTGATTCTTAGATGAGCTGCGGTCCCATTCCTCGCCGATGGTGGTGAAACCATGAGGATTAGCCTCGGTCGGAGCCATGAAATAGCCGTAACTGGGCCTGTCGTTCTGCTGGAGTGCTTCCCAGAGAATGTCGTCGCGACCCCCAGCTGACAACGCCCGTACAATCGGGCCCAGACCAATCTGTCCGCCACTTAGATGTGGGCCCTGTCCGTCGCTTGAGGGGTAGTGATACGTAAGCTCAACCAGGGCATTGAGGACCTCCTGGCGATGTTCCTCAGGCACCAGGCCAGAGTCTAGAGCCAATGCCTGCGCAGCTTGGGTGGCGTTGCTGGTACCATTATTGCCTGTATTAGTGTATCGACGACTGGTGTCATTCCAGAAGGCGGAGTGGAAAACGTTGCGGATGTTGTGGGATAGGTCGTTGTAACGGTCAGCGTCGGCGTGGTGCCCGGTGAGGTTGGCGATACGGGCCATGGCTCTGACGGTAAGGTAATAGCCCCAAGTGCCGGTGATACGACCCGAGGTCTGGGGGCCATCCTCCACCCAGTCACCTAGGGCTGCGTCGACAATATGTCCTCGGGCTTTCTCCCGCTGGATGTAGTGAACAAAGTCGACCAATCGGTCATAGTAGGCGGCCATGACCGTTGTGTCACCGTACAAATCATACAGGAGGGAGGGGACGAGTACAATTGCATTACCCCAGTTAATCTCATCTCCAAAACGGCCACGATACCCCCAATCGTATACAGGTGTCTTCAAGGCCACGTTCCCGGCCATCGACGTGTTTGCGATGGACTGGCCTTCGACCAAGTGATGCATGGCAGTGCGCAAGAAAGCCGGGAATTGAAAGTTGCGCGCCAGGGCTCCAAATGGCTGGGTGAAATCTGCCGGGTAAGGAAGCTTCTCACGCCCGGGACAGTCAGTGAAGACGGATATGATGTTGCTTGCCATTGAATACCACGCCATCTTATGGATTCGGTTGAGACGAGCGCTAGAGGAGGTAAAGCTACTAGCGAATGGGACATCTGCTTGGACGCGAAGACCTGTGATTAGGTCCCGGCTAGGCTTGTAGCCGCTCGGCAAACCTGTGACTTGAACCCACTGCATACCGAAGTAGTTGAACTTCGGGTGCCAGGTCTCGCCGCCAGACCGGCCGGCAGTGGTATACGTGATAAACAAATCCCTGCCACGGTCTCCCGGACCCAGCGACGCCTGGTCAACGGTGCCGTTTGCAGCAAGTGACTCGGCGGGAGCCACCTTGATTGTCGTACCAGCTGGTAGCTCAGGGAGGTTGAGTAGGGGAAAACCGGCAATATTTTGGCCGAAGTCGAACACCCAAGTCCCAGGAACGGGTTCAGTGACCGATACCGGGATGAGCCGCTCCTGGATCTTGACGGGCTCAGCGGCACGAGCAACCAGCCGAGTAGCAAGGTTAGGTGGAGGAGCCAAGCCAGACGCTATCCAGGGGTGTGAGTTGAGATCGGCTCCAGGGCGGTCCCAGCCCACTTGTTCCCGGGTTGCGTTGTAATCAGAGCCGGAGTACCATGCGTCGGTGACCAGAGGCCCGAGAGTGGTGCGCCAGTACCGGTTCGTGACAATGGTGGTTTTGCTGTCATCGCTGTAGGTGATTTCCAGACGACCAATCAAGCGCGGGGTGACAGCGGCACCAGCAGATGCGTCACTGGCAGCAATGTTGTTGCCCGAACCGGTGACCTGAGCACCAGCCTTGTGATTCAGTGTAAGACCAGGCGCGAAAGTGATAGTTTTGTTGCCGATCGCGGTGATGGTTCGCGATTCGAGCTTCTCGCCGCCCCCTCCGGTGTCAATGTTGATGCTGCCGCCGACATGATACCCAGTAGTAGCATTGAGGTGTATATTTATGCTTCCGGCTAGTGCACCTTCTACCAGTGTGCCATTGCCCTTAAGCTGACTCTCCCACCACGAGTAGGGAGAGGTTCGGCCGACACTCGGATTCTTAACGCTGCGACGTACGTACGCCGGGCCATTGCCGAGACTGACACCGATAACATTCATGCCGGGCTGCAGCCATTTCTTGACATCATACGTTCGGTACTCAGTTGACAGCTGCCAGTTCGAATATCCTGGAGCAAGGACCTCGTCGGTGATTTCTTCTCCGTTCACCGTAGCATGGTGCAGTCCAATGCCAGCCAGGTAGAGGCGCGCGAAAGCAATCGTCTTATTATGGGAGATGTCAAATGGACGGGCGAAGAGCGGTAAAGGCTGGTTTTCCGTGCGCCCAGGATAATCAATCCAACGTGCTTCGCCCCAGTCGGTCTGCTCAAGTAAACCAGTAGTCCAAGTGGCCGGCCAGGACCAGTCCGAAGCGTCTCCATACGCGTCCCAGACTCGCACATGCCAGGCTATGGAGTCTCGCGACTTAAGCTCGCTGCCGAAGCGCACCTGCTGCTGGTTGCTATCAACCTTACCACTATCCCAGATTAGCCGTCCCTCGCTAAGGTCAGCGATGGTCTTGGCGGCTTGAATTTCATACGCCGTCTGTCTATCACCGGGACAGATAGACGCATTGCAGTTGTGAGTCTGGTTGATCTGCCAGGTCAGAGTAGGACGCGAATTACCAAGGTCTAGTGGTGAGTCGGTTCTGCCGTCGACGGTGAGATGTGTGACTTGGACAGCGGCACGGGACCAAGCCGGTAGAAGCATGAGCAGCGTGCCCGTGAGGGCTGGTGTATACCACAACCACATCTTGAACCCTTCTCCACCGTTGGGAATCTCTATCGCAATATCATCCGCATCTTTGTAGCCGGCCCAGAGGGTCACTTTAAGCCACCAGCCAAGATAGCGAGACCAACCTCGGTGTTTCTTTAACCCGAGTAGTCGAGATGAGCTTGCATGTAGCGGACTAGTGCCCAGCCAGTATTGTTTCCCCCCGCATTTTTCTGCAGATCCTGATATATTAAGAGGGGGAAAGAGCTATATACCTTCTACAATTGGTGTAGAGATAAGCGAAAGGTCCATCAGTCTACATTCAAACTAGCTAATACGGTAATACTATCCATGAAGATTCCTTAATGTCGGGCCGCTGTCATCATCACGCCGAATAGAGACAATGTTAATGGCGCCGTTCGTTGCCGCGTCCACTAGGTCCATGGAGCAGACCTTGAGCGGGACTACCACAGCTGTACCGGGAGAGTCTGGCTGTGGGTGTGGCTTGAGTAGCTTTCCGTTGTCCGTTTCAATTGCTTCGCATGTACATGCCGCTCCTAGCAGGGAGAATAACGTGTTATGTAGGAGAGGTGCCAGAGAGTTTCTGACTGGGGATAAAGAGTTTAGCTGAGGACAGCTATCCCCTCCGCAGAGTATTTGTTCTTGACTTGGACACTCCCGCAGGAAGACCATAGAAGAATATGTATTTGATTCACTTGAGGTTCACCGGGTACAATGCAAGACACTCAACTTGGTTTATCACACGCTTAGAGTGGCCGCTACATTTGTCAACATATCCTCAACGTTCGTGACTCTTGTCGTACAATGAGGATTGGTCCATAGTTGTTCACTCCAGGTTGCCTTTGACTTAGACTGGTCACACTAGCGAACATTGAATTGTAGCATCTAGGAAACTTGTGATGGCCAGCTCACCCAGCCTTTCATGGATGCTGTATGCCAAGGTCCGCTACGTTCCTCTCGGTGTGGGATTGCCACGTCGGATATCCAGTCGTTAGCCACCATTCCTCGGTCTTCGTGGTCAAAGGCTGGGTCATTGTTGTTTATAGGATGCCACCCTCTAATACGGTAGGGTTCGGCTTCATTTGGCGCCTCTGTGGCATTCTTAAAAGGATCAAAGGTCACAGATTGCAAGGCCCGTTGGTCATCATTCCAATCTTCACGCTGAAAAATGAACAATACCCCGCTACCGCCTACAGTGTACCTGGGGACAATACCAGGGATTTGCCCTTCATTGGCTGCAGCTGGCGGGATATTCTCACGCAGGGCATGTTTGAATGCGTCTATTGTGGCGTAGTAAGTCCCACAGGCCTCCCTTTCCCCTCGGTAGTGAGATATACAGTCGTCTTCATTGCCCCCAGGGAGAAAGTACAGATCCAGTCGGGTATGAAGGTTTGGAACATGCTTTGGAGGAATAAGCTCCGCATACAGCTTTACCATATCAATGTCTCTGGGACTGTGTTTGCATGCGTAAAATAAAAGGAAAGGGAGAACAGTGGTGGTAGAGGGCATCTCTCAAGATTTTCGAATACCATATATGCATTGCTGCCCGTATGATCATTAAAGGGTTCTGTATGGACTTTGAGCCTTCAATATCTTAATGGAAATGGAATGGCATCTTCCTCATCATCGGTTTCGGATCCCAGAAACCTTTTGTCATCGTCGAATGGTAGAAGTGGCTCGTCAGCAAGCCAATATCGTTCGGGGTTCCATGAGAAGAGCATAGATCGCGCTCTCCCATCATCTAGCATACCGTACGTCTTTAGCCACAAGGGATGGTCAAGTCCACCGTACTGCAATGGGGAGCCGTCTATAATGAAACATGGCCGAGTAGTTTCTGCAAGGCGAATGTCCACACCACTTCCTTTACAAGTCTGCTCCGCGTCAATGTATAGTTGATTAAATTGAGAGGTCAGCAGCCGGCAGTCCTCCATCGTTATCAATTTCAGTGAAGGAAACTTTCGACTCGCAAATACCTCCCGGAATTGTACGGCCAAGCCATGAATTGCTTGAAACCCTTCACCTACGTAGAGTAACAAGGATTCAAGTCTAGATGGCAATGTATCGACTAACCGGAAGGGAGCAATAGAACGTCCAGCGCAACCACCAAGTAGCACCTCCACCTGAAGGCAAAGGTGCTTGAGACGTGAGAATGAACGCAGTAAGCCAAGATGAAGGGCCGACTCTCGACGAGATGAATTTCCTTGCCGATAAATATCAAGGTACTCAAGGCTATGTCGGTGCGGCTGTAAGGCATCCCAGATCTCTCTGTTTGATGGCATGGTTCCAACTCCTTCAGATTCAGGATCTTCCAAGAGAAGTGAGAATTTCCTCAGAGATATTGTTACGGCGAGCAGGCCCTGTATGTTCGTTAAAGCACCACCTGACGCCACACTGCTAATAAGGTATGGTTGTTCCAGGTCAGATGTTCCATGATTGTCTTTTAGTTGGATAGCTGTGGTATCAATACGATAGACGGAAAGCGTTTTCAGTCCTTTTAAGTAAGAGGACTGGCCATAGATGGTTCAGCTGGAAAGTCCCGTCGGCACCAGGTGCATCGTTGGGTTTAGAGGGGGCCCGACGCGATAGGCACTTCATCAAAGAGATACAGCTCTCTCAGCTTAGCCAAAGGCGGTGGTTGGGAACTATTACTTTCTTGACTCCTTAATACATGCTGCAATACTGCTCCCAAAACGGGGTCAGATGGTGGCACATATGCACAGACGGTGGTGAGATTTGGGAGAGAGAGAGGTTAGAAGAAGTGCCATCAAAGGCCGGCGATCGCGTTTGTGTTAATCATCAATAATACCTGCTTCTAGGGAACGAATTCCGGCATTCACAATCGCCACATGGATGAGGTCTAGATCCTCTCCTGATAGACCCAGTTTTTCGGGTTTGCCAAAGGTGACATGTGGGTAGAATCCCCAGTTCCCGATGGTCAAGGTCCGAACCAGGGCTGCTAGGCGGGGATTACGAAGGACTGTTCGTAGGAATTTCCAAAGCACCTTGAATGGTTGTTTCCGAGTATAGGCGAACAGCTGCATGTGGGTGCCACGGACGGTTGAGAAGGCCCAGGCGGAAAAGGTAACGGATATCGCATTCGTCATCGTCATCTAAAGCATATCCCAGAATGGTCCGGCATAGCTCCGCTGGAAGATTCGCAGGGTCGGGCAGTTTGACACTACGTACCAAAAAGTCCAGGTGTCTAAAACTAAGAAATGAAACAGGTGCAACGATTGGCCGAAGGATGTTTGAGTGGGTATGTACAGAGTACTACTAGTAGACGATAAAGGAACCAGACAATGAAAAATCAAGGAATGCCAAACCCCATTGCTGAGGGGGGTTCGGACTGTGGGACGGAAGCGTGCACCAAAAGTCCTTGCCAGGGGTCATGGTATCACGTGATATTAGGTCTAAACAATATCATTGGATATTGAGCACGTGATTTAGAGGCGTCGGGAGAGGACTTTTGAGCACGTGTCGTACAGGGAAATATCGTTATTTTACTGTCTCCCAAAGAACATTCCTCATAACAAGGCATATCGCGCCTTGTTATCGATTTAAAGAATGCACTGAAATAATAGTAGCCAAGTGTAGATTTCTTGAGACATGTAATTACTGCAAGTTACCAGTCTCAGCTCTGACTTTACACAGAGTACTTAGTAGTAATATATTACCACAACCAAAATATATACCCACAAGGCACAAGATGGTATGCACTGTATGATCCTCCTGTTCTCTCCTTTCTATACCAGGGGAATTTGCTCCATATACTAGACACCAGTATCTCCATATCCAACTTGATATTTCGGTCGGGTCAAATAAGGGAATCAATATGATCAATCCCTTCAAAGTTAAGCCGAGGGCTTGCGGAATTGGGAAATGGAACCTCCACTCCATATCACCTCTAGTGCGTGAGAATAAATATCTCAAAGGATTATTACTCCAGTGAGGCATAGGTTATTCGGCGCCTTTTCCTATTACGGCAAACCCTCGTCAACACCTGACCTGCACTTCCTTACCAGCATTAAACCAGGTCCCAACCGCCCGTTCCAAAATCAACATCGCATTCCGCATCACCCACCTTCTCAAAAAGCTGAACTGTTTCCCATGTGGTATCTTTGGTTATCGTACTGACAGGTGATATTAATGATGGATGATGCAAAAGACCCTCTTCCACATCACCAGGCAAGAATGAATGAGTCTGGTCAGAATAACGAAGAACCGAGCGATAGGGAGGCACAGGAGCCGGAGGAGAAGCACCTGAAGGGCTTCCGAATGTATTGCGTATCCCTGGCTCTATTGACGTCTATTTTTCTCACCACCCTAGACGCTTCTATCATCTCAACGGTAGGTTGAGCTGGGCATACTTCGGCGGTCGCTAATACGCATGGTGTACAGGCAGTACCGCAAATTTCTAGTCGCTTCCACTCGACACTGGACATTGGGTGGTATAGCTCGGTTTACATGATTGCTATGTACATTCCTGCTCAATAACCCCTGAACCCTTCAAAGCGGGAATACTCATGCTGGATAGATGTGCTATCCTGCCGATGGCGGGGAAGTTCTACGCGCATTTCAACCCGAAGGTTTGATACTAATCCATTATTGGTAAACTTATACCTTGATCTTTGACTGTAACAGTGTACCTTTCTTGGATTCCTCTTTTTGTTTGAATTGGGCTCTCTGCTTTCTGCTGTGGCAGTGTCCTCGAGGATGTTGATTGTGGGCCGAGCGGTCGCTGGACTTGGGAGCGCAGGGATTTACAACGGAGCTTTGACCATCATGGGGAAGGGAATGAAGCCATCCGCTCGGGCTTGTAAGGGCTGACAGACAATCGACATTCATCGAAAAGACGGCTAATATAGTATCATAGGGCAGATCGGTTTGGGAACATCGATGGCTACGATCGGATCGGTATTTGGGCCATTGATCGGGGGTGGCTTGACCTCGCGGGTGTCATGGAGGTGGTGTGCGTGATCGCTGTCGGCTGTAATTCTTATCATCTCTAATCCGACCGTGATGCAGGTTTCTATATCAATCTCCCGCCGGGTGGTTTGACAGCCCTAATTCTCGTGGTAATGAAGATCCCAACTAGCAACGATGAGCCAGAGCTTCCGAAAGGGCTGCGGAAATCGCTCGCTCTCTTTGATCCTGTCGGGTTTCTTTTATTCTGCCCATCATGCATCTTGTTTCTCCTTGCTATCCAATGGGGTGGGGTGAAATATCCATGGAATTCCGCTCGTGTGATTGGCCCTCTATGTGGATCTGCAGTAGGATTTATTCTCTTTGTGGTACAGGAGGCGCGTCACGGTGACAAAGCCATGATAGCACCCAAGATGGCTCGAAATTCCGTTGTCTTTTTCGGATTCTGGACAGTCTTGTTTCAATTCGGATCACTTATGGTGATCACGTATTATCTGCCGCTGTGGTTCCAGGTTGTCAAAGGCGCCAGTCCGATCCGAAGTGGTGTAATGCTGTTGCCCACCATCATCGCTCAGACACTGTTCACAGTGGTTGCAGGCGCTATTGGTAAGTACCGCCTCATTCCTACGGTGATGATACATTGTACCATCTGCTAACATCTATACGCAGTATCCAAGAGTGGGTACTGCGCACCCCCAGCACTAACCGGATGCGCATTGACCGTCATTGGCGCAGGTCTAATGACAACCTTCGTTCCTTCTACCCGGTCAGGGAAGTGGATTGGTTATCAGATCCTCATTGGTGCTGGCCGAGGCTTATCAATTCAAGTGGTCAGTATAGAAGCCGGTCATTCCATCCCGTCTTTTAGCCTGTCTTCTGACACTAGCATCTATTACACAGCCTATCATCGCTACACAAGCTGTACTTCCGCGTCAGCTGATCTCTTCGGGAACTTCCATTATTCTATTCGGGCAGTTCTTCGGAGGTGCAGTTTTTACAGCATCAGCGCAAACAATCTTTACAAACCGACTCTATGATTCCTTGCTGGAGTACCTCCCAGATCCCAAGACCGTGAAGGATGTTGTTCAGGCGGGGGCAATTCCATCGAGCTTTGCGCAGCTTGTCCCGGCGACAGACTACGCTGATGTCATTCAAGCATATAATCATGCATTGACACAGACCTGGGTACGTAATCTTGCTATATATAACTCTCCCTAGATATTACTCCTCGACGTGCTAACTAACAAAAGTACCTGGGAGTTGGACTCGCCGGAGTGGCATTCTTCATCTGCTTCGGATTAGGATGGACCCATATCGACAACAAAAAACCAAAGGAAACAGCAACAAGCCCAGCAGTCCACCACAACGCGGAAGGGGAAAAGCACATTTGAGGTATTATTTGTGATGCTACTCTATGTCAACATTACTTGACTGAGGTATCTTCTCCGTTTAATCTCAGACGCAAAGGCTTCTCGAGTGACGCGACTGCCGTCAGCATAGGCGTAATCGATAGAGCAATCCCAATACCAACAGGACAACATCTGTGCTGCACACTGTTCGAAACCGTTCTAATGAAAGATTGTGCTGAGCTATTTAGTCGGTTTAGAAGGTGGCCGAAAATGCTCGCCTGCGCCACATCCCGTAGCTCGGCGGCGGTCAGTGGACTGGTACACGGAACCTCAGGTAGAGAAGCACCAGTGGAATAGCTTGATTCCGGGCTATCCTTATCGACAAGACCATCATGGTAGCTCGGAATGTTGGTTGATGAAACCATGCCCATGTATGCATGGAGGAGACGAACATAGCACGTCAGGATTAGGAGGGTCATGAAATCTACTCGATGGTGATACGCGCAGGATAGTTGCCCACAACCAGCGGGGCACAACTGCGAGTGCCATAGAAAGACATCCATAAGCTGTTGCGTCATACTTGCAATATATTCGATCCCTGCATCTTGGTGCGTCTTCGATATGGAGCGGGTCTGAGTGCACATACTCGACGAGCTAAAGAGACTTGTTTGCAAAGACAGAATCTTCTGTAGACAGCCATCCCATACATGATCAGCTGGCGAAGACCATGCATGCTCTGCAAGGATAGGATGTAGGACACACGATCCACTCGGGGGCACGGGAGGAAGTGAAGCGGAGTCTTCGTTTAGAAGGTCTGCATTAAACATTACAGGGTCCAATTGTGAGGCGGATGATATGACTGTCACAAAGATAATGAATATTAGCAGAGGCGCATTATCTTGGGGTATGCGAACCTACGAAGTGTTGCATCAGCGTGTATCGGTGAGATGCCATTGAATTCTCCTTCGATATTTGGTGGACCATTTCCCATTCCATAAACATTGTTGATGATTGTATCCTTGGCACATGCGTCGGGATTCACCTCCACTGCATGACCTTTGCTCGCTGTGCCGATCCTTGGCGTATCTCTCGAGTCCAACTTCCACACCGTTTCAGCCCATGGTGTGGCAGCAGAGCCCTTTTCTCGAGGCCGCCCGGTCCGCAAAGGCTGACTATATGTGCACGAGAGCCCTGATACATGACATCGCTCACATAAATTCACATTGTTCGGTAGTCTTTGACAACGAAGCTTCAGTTCATGGCAACGGTCACAGGCCTGTCGAGTCAGCGATGAAGCGACAGTTCTATCCATCTTTCAACAGACACTAGGAAGTGTCGAACGGGGGGATAAGCCACGACAAGATATTCTATGTAAGGCGTTAACGCCGTATGATTCCACCATGTCAGAGCCAAATCAAGCGTCATGTTCTATTTTGGTCGTATCAGCACTGACCCCTGGTTGTGTATATTAATACCTAAGGGATTATGAGAGCATGCGCGGATAAAGCGGAATCAGTATTTTCGGAAGAATGGTTGATATGGCGAGTCATATTGCGCCAATTTGATGTACAGTTGGGGCGGGGTTTCTGCTTGGGACGCACTACGCATGCATGGACGCGGACGGTTCTGTACAAACATATGGACCATCCTTGACCAATACTTATGTCGCTGATAAGCTCTTGCCAAGAGCGCTTATGACCCCTTGGCGTAAGAACTGGGGACTAGTAGTGAGATTTCATCTTACGGCGGACTAAATCTAGCTTACGGATAAAAAGACTAGTATTATGGGTAGATAATCCAGCAGAACCTAATGGATAGATCTAATTGTGTAATATATAGTGTGTTGGTATTGGTAAATTTGGTACTATTTTTTTGTCCGCAAGGTAGATTTATTCCGCTGTAAAATCGAGGATCTGTCCAGTGTCGGGATCGAATATTGAAATCACCATTCGGAGTGGAGTTGGTGGGGAGACGCTTTGGCAGAATTGAAGGTCTAGTACCTGGGAACACCAGCAGAAGCCCTTTCACCTCTAAGTTCTACTCCAAGTTTAATGCGTGTTGAGGACTTTAAAGAGAGGAAGAAGTCCGTTAGAATGCCATGATGGATATATTTATAGAGGTTGATGCCCCGTCACAGACTTCCCGTGAGTTGCCCGACTCTCAAATGGTCGCGGAAATTTATCAGGTACATTAGATTACCATGTGGCTAAAGATGCACCTAATGGGCTGAATGCAACGTAGGCCTGGTCTTATGATCTCTACTCAACGCCGCCCGTCAAGGTCCGTGAGAAAAGTCCGAGCATGAGAGAGAACCATGGAGGGATATGCTAGTGGCAACAACAAGCGCCAGGATTAACGTGCGATTAAGATTCGCGAGCTCAGTGTTAGCACTGGACAAATGTGATCATCTAATAAAATAGCAATCCGTCTATCAATTTGTCTGGCACTCGCAGAACGGTACTGAGCCCCAATAATTGGTTAGCAAGGAGTAAGACAGACAGGGTTAGGCATTATATTCCTATTTCGTAAAAGTCGCCGAGTAGCGAAAAGCACAAGGACAGAAAAAATATTGTTTAAAATTAGACAAAGCAGGGGTAGCAAAAAACTGCTCAGTATACCTCCTGACACGCAGTAGTACGATTGGATATCAATCTCTCAATGGTTGCGGTGAATATGGTCATCCTCATAGGCTTAGTTATGTTAGGGTTACATCTCATTCGTTACGAGTCTCCACACTTGACACGAAATATCAGTTGATACAAGGGCATGTCCTCGGACTCGTGTCTTATCATCGCCCTTGTTTAAGACGGGACGTCGGGCCGATCTGAACTATCATTCTATTGGGGCGGAATGGGGACCTCGCTAGCACTGCAGGGGCGTCCTAGAGGCTACTATGGTGAGCGAGTCAGCCCAGTGAAAGACGGCAACTCCAGGATTCGAACCCATGTCTTCGAGCAAGCCGGCCTCTCAGCCTTTTTGGGGATTATGTTGGAATTTATCACCAGCTTTACTGGATTCATTCCGTACCCTCCTAAGTATCTCGGCTTGAACTACTATGCTGCTAGTGGAAGTCGTTCATTGGCTTGCATGATTGTCAGTGGAAGGAAACAGAATAGGAAAACGAATCGAATGGCCTACTAGGTTCAGGAAAATACCCCGAATAGCAGTCCTGGACCTTATTGTCTGGATGGAGTAAGTCTGTTGATGAAACATTCTGAATATTGTGAAGTTTGTGAAATAGTTCGAGCTACAGGCAATGTATAAGACCGTCCCAGGGAAAGATAATGATTCACGTTTGCAGGGTAAGACTTCTTGCAAAGTCCAGTTCATAACTACCCATACTTAGTCATGAACACTAGCTCAAGCGAACCTATCGCCATTGTAGGAAGCGGTTGTCGCTTCCCTGGTGGCTCCTCCTCACCGGCACGACTGTGGGAGCTGCTGCGTGCACCCAGAGATGTGAGTAGCGATATTCCAGAAGATCGGTTCAGCTGGAAAGGGTTTTATCATCCCGATGGCTCTCACCATGGAACGACAAACACCAAGCAAGCCTATTTTATTGAAGATGGCATCCGCAAGTTCGATGCGCAGTTTTTCAACATCCCTCCTGCTGAGGCGGACGCAATCGATCCTCAGCAGAGGTTGTTACTCGAGACAGTATATGAGGCAATTGAGTCTGCAGGTATGACCCTTGAAGATATGCAAGGAACGGAAACAGCTGTTTTTGTGGGAATGATGGGTTGCGACTACGCAGACGTTGTGCTAGGAGATTTGGAATGTGCGCCGACTTATACGGGTACTGGGACGGCCCGCAGTATCCATTCTAACCGAGTGTCTTATTTCTTCGATTGGCATGGCCCGTCCATGACTATTGATACTGCTTGTTCTTCCAGTATGATGGCAATCTACCTAGCGGTGCAAGCCTTACGAAACGATGATGCCCCTGTAGCCATTGCAGCTGGGGCGTCGTTGATCATCGGACCTGGTTCGTCGGCCTTCTAGTGGGATAATATTTTTGATGACTTACAAATTCATTAGACAACTACGTGATTCTCAGTAATCTCAATATGCTCGCTCCAGACGGTCGGGCTAAAATGTGGGATGCCGGGGCTAATGGGTACGCACGAGGAGAGGGAGTTGGCGTAGTTGTCCTTAAAAGACTCAGTGCCGCATTGAGAGACGGTGATCCCATCGAGTGTATCATCCGGGAAGTCTGCGTTAATCAAGACGGTCGTACCCAAGGCATCACCATGCCAAATGAGTTGGCGCAGGCAGCTCTCATCCGCCGGACGTATGAACGTGCTGGCCTGGATCCCAATAGCCCTCGAGACCGTCCCCAGTATTTTGAGGCTCATGGTACCGGAACCCCTGCGGGGGATCCCAAGGAAGCAGAGGCAATTGCTAAAGCATTCTTTGGGGTGAATGACGGTTCCACTGATCCAAATCCAATGTATGTTGGATCGGTCAAAACAGTCATTGGCCACACTGAAGGCGCCGCTGGCATTGCAGGAATCTTGAAGACATCATTAGCGCTACAACATGGTTTAATTGCGCCCAACTTACTTTTTGATACGCTTAGCCCGGCTGTCGCAGTATTCACAAAGCAACTGAGAGTACCGACTTCTCTTATTGCTTGGCCAGCAGTTCCAGGGGGTGGTCCAAGAAGAGCCAGCGTGAACAGTTTTGGTATATTCTCTTCATGAACATGGACCTTTCGGCAGCTGATCAGTTTCACAGGATTTGGTGGATCGAACGGTCACGCCATTCTGGAAAGCTTTGTGCCAGTATCGCAGGTTGCGGAATCTGATGACCCGGGAGAAGTGTCTTTCTCACCTTTCACATTCTCCGCGCCGTCAGAACGTGCCCTCATATCTACTCTCACTGCCTTTGCGGAACACCTGCAAAACACCCCTAAGCTTAATATGCGAGACCTAGCATACACCCTACAGACTCGCAGATCAGCCTTCCCATTTCGCACGACCTTTTGGGCTGCAACAACTGCTCAACTTGTCGACAAAATAAACGAGAGACTACAAATGTCCAACTCTAAGGAGACCACTCCGCTTAGCATCCGAGCCCTTTCACGACCTAGTGGCAGGGTTCTTGGCATCTTCACAGGTCAAGGTGCGCAATGGGTTGGAATGGGCATGGAGCTTGTCCAACGCTCCTCCTATGCTAGGAGCATCGTTGTCGAGCTTCAGCAATCTCTAGAAGACTTGCCAGAGGAAGACAGACCGGCATGGTCCCTTACTGAACAACTAGCCGCGGGGTCTGAAACCTCTCGACTCGGCGAGGCCGCCATTGCACAGCCGCTTTGTACGGCAATCCAAATTATGCTGGTACGTTTGCTACGACACGCTGGCATTGAGTTCGCTGCTGTAGTCGGCCATTCATCTGGTGAGATCGCCGCTGCCTACGCAGCAGGCTTCCTAACATCTGGCCAAGCCATACGGATAGCATATTACCGGGGCCTATGGGCGAAGTTGGCAAAAGGCCCAAATGAAGAAAGAGGTGCTATGTTAGCAGTTGGTACCTCTCTAGAGCGTGCCGAGCAGCTTTGCAGTCACCCAGATTTCAAAGGGCGAATCACTGTTGCAGCTTCTAACTCACCCGCCAGTGTTACGCTTTCGGGGGATAAGGATGCCATTGATGTAGCGAAGCTACGGCTAGATGAAGACAAAGTGTTTGTGCGTATGCTTCGTGTTGATACCGCCTACCATTCCCACCATATGATTCCATCCGCACAGTCTTATGTTCAATCCCTGTTGAGCTCTGGGATCCAACCGATTATCCCAGATGAGAGCTGCCCTCAGTGGTACTCTAGCGTTAGTCCAGGACAGGAACCCGTGCAGATGACTGCCGCTCCGGGTGCAGACTACTGGGCTAAAAACATGGTTCAAACGGTCTTATTTGCTCAGGCTGTTAAGAATGCTGTTTCCAACGCTGGTCCATTTGACATTGCGATTGAGATTGGGCCACATCCAGCCCTACGAGGACCATTCTCGCAAACTGCTGAAGCGAGTTCAGAGGATCCTATTCCATATTCAGGTTGCTTAATGCGAGGGGTGGGCGACATTGAAGCCTTTGCCAACGCTCTTGGACTTGTCTGGTCCCATATACCTCCATCTACAGTCACCTTTGATGCGTTTGAGCGCATAATCGCCCCTCATTCAGCAAGTCGCACTTTTATCAGGGGGCTTCCATCGTACCCATGGGACCATGGACGCTCATACTGGTTTGAATCCAGAATCTCAAGTGCCCACCGGTACCGCAAGCGCGCAGTCCACCCGCTCCTTGGTGTAGAGCAAGAGAATACCACAGAAAGTGAGATTAAGTGGCGCAACTTCCTTCGTACCAAAGAGATCCCCTGGTTGAAGGACCACCGCATCCAGGGGCAGCCGGTCTTTCCAGCAGCTGGCTACACTTGCATGGCTTGGGAAGCAGCTATGGAGATCTCAGACGACAGGCCTGTTCAGCTTTTTGAAATTCACAATTTGGAAATCGGGCAAGCTATTCTTTTCGACGAAAACCCCATTGGCATGGAGATAATATTCGCTGTTAACGATATCCAGAAAGTCCCTGAGATCCCGGACACCCTTCATGCTAAGTTCACATGCCACTCATGCAGTAGCCGTGATAGCAATCAACTATTCCTCAATGCTAAAGGGGATCTCACGATAACCTACGGCAACCCTTCATTCAATGCTCTTCCCGCCAGTCCTTTCCGGCCACCAAATGTTATTGACACCGATCCTGAGGAATTCTATTCTTCCCTGAGCCACCTAGGGTACGGCTATACAAAGGAATTCAAGAGCATTGTCTTCTTAGAAAGGAAAAGAAACTACTCCTATGGTTTCTTCCGCATGTCTCCAAGCGATATGATCATCCATCCGGCAACGGTAGACACTGCCTTCCAGGCCCTGCTGGCAGCAATGTCCTATCCCGGCGACGGGGCCCTCTGGTCGTTACACATGCCCGTCTCTGTGCGGCATGTCAGGCTGAACCCATACGTTGCATCCTTGCTATCTACTAAAGGCCTCGGTGATCTTGTGTTTGAAGGGACGCTTGTGGACCGTGACTCAGTACAAAACGAAGGAAATGTCCAGATATATCCACGCGATATGTCCAACGCGCTTCTGCAACTAGAAGGAGTGAGGGCAAAGCCGTTCACACCTGCAACCTCGGCAGATGACAGGAAGGTCTTTTCAAAGACAATCTTTGACTTACTGGTTCTCGATGGTGCTTCAATTACAGAAGGACACAGAGCGTCGGCACAGGAATATGAGCTGGCCACTCTACTAGAGCGTGTTGCCCATTTTTACCTTCGCCGCTTGCATCACAGTATCAACCAGCATGACAAGGATGGTGCCCAGTTTCATCATCGGTGTCTACTAACGTTCTGTGAGCATATAGTGAACCAGGTCTCTTCTGGTCAGCATCCTTGGGCTAAGCCAGATTGGGCAAAAGACACTAAGGAAGATATCCTTACTGTGGCAGAAAAGTAGGCCTAGAGCAATATCCTTGTGGAGAGTGACTAACAGCTTCTTAGATATGCACATCTGATTGATCTGCGCATCATGCATTCTGTTGGTGAGAATTTGATCTCTGTGGTACGTGGGGAGACGACCATATTGCAACATTTGGCCAAGGACAACATGCTTGAGGAATACTATCGCTATTCTCTCGGTTTCCCGGTGTTGAACGGCTGGCTTGCTCGTATGGTGAAGCAGCTGGTTCATCGCTTTCCACGCATGAAGATTCTAGAAATCGGTGAAGGACTCTTAGACAAGTTCCGACAGTTTATACAACAATGCTAATTTTATTTAGGCGCCGGAACTGGGGGTGCAACGAAGGAAATCCTTCAATCAGTAGGTCTCAAGTTCACTTCATATACATATACCGACATTTCCCCTGCATTTTTTGATCGTGCGCAAGACGAATTCAAGGAATTTTCGAGTAAAATGGAGTACCGCACACTGGATATCGAATTGGACTTTACCGCTCAAGGCTATGTGGAGCATTCCTTTGACCTCGTTATCGCGTCCAATGTCATCCATGCCACGAAGTCGTTAGAGGAGAGTCTTCGCCAAGTCCGGGGCCTTCTTCGTCCTGGAGGCCACCTGATGCTCCTGGAGATCACAGATGCTAGGCCAATGCGATACGGCTTTCTTATGGGCGGACTACCTGGATGGTGGGTAGGTCACAACGATGGCCGTAAGCTGGGACCCACTATTAAAACAGTTCAATGGGATGAGGTCCTTCACAAAGCCGGCTTCTCTGGGGTGGACGCATTGACCCCTTCCGTTGATCCTCTGCCGTATCCGCTCTCTGTCATGGCCACTCAAGCAGTCGACCAACGCATTACCTTTCTACGGGAGCCAATCTTCAATTTGCCCCCCACGGAGCAGTTTGGTGACTTGCTCGTTGTGGGAGGTAGGAGCTTGCAAACATCGAAGCTTGTTCGAAAGATTTGCAATGTCCTTTCTTCCAAGTTTAGGAGGATACACTCTGTCGGCAGGCTAGACACTGTTGACCATGTAGGTTTGCCCGTTCCGACAAACATAATCTATTTAGGCGACCTCGACGAGCCAACATTTAATCCTGCCACCGAGCCTAAGTTCAAGGGTCTGAAGTCTCTGATCAATGCAGCGAATAATATCGTCTGGGTAACATCTGGCTGCCAGGGACAGGAACCCTATAACAACATGAGCATTGGATTTGGTCGGTCCTTGATTCATGAGGTTCCGGGAATGCACCTACAGTTCCTCAATGCTTTGGCACTAGCTGAGGTTGACGGGTTATACGTTGCCGAACTGTTATTGAAGTTGTGCGCTCTCCAAACTTGGGCGCAGCAAGGGCAATTGGAGGACTTGGCATGGACATCCGAGCCAGAGATCTACCTGCAAGATGGGAAGGAGTATATCCCTCGTGTCGTGCATGACCTGGGTCGTAACAATCGTTATAATTCTAGACGGCGTCCCATCACCAAAAAAGTTAACTCTTTGTTGTCACCTGTGGAGCTACAAATTCGGGGTGAATCATACATTCTATCTGGAGGCTCTCACAAGCCATCGATATTCCAGGCTGTGGAGAACTTGGTAACAGTTACAGTGGTACGATCAATATCGGCTGCAGTAAATGTCCATTTGTGTGGACCTATCTTTGTTGCGTATGGTATGATCCAAGGAACCCTTGAACCGGTTGTTCTGTACACCGAGTCCAATTCGTCAATTGTCCGGGCCCCTCAGCACCAGGTCTTCCCATGTAGATTCGACACTGCATGGCAAGGCCAGCTCCTGGAAGCGGTGGTTTGGCAGCTTATAGCAGACCACATCCTCTTGCAAGTACCGTCCCGTGGGACCGTTCTACTATACCAACCCCCGAAGTCTTTGCTCTCTGTGTTGCACCTGCGAGTCATAAATCTTAAGGTTCAAATCATTGAGCTAGTCAACACACCAGCGACCAGTTCAGAACAGATATTTGTGCACCCAAGAACTATGGAGCATCACATTGTTGATGCTTTACCACGGGACCTAACCGTCTTTGCGGACTTCTCCACTGGCGGCATACCTGTTCTCTTCGGAAGGCAAGTTCAGGCCTGTGTTCCTGATAGGTGCGCTATCATCCGTTGGAGTGACATATTCTGCTCAGAAGTCAGTACCAGCGCTCAGACCAATGCTGATGTGCTTCATTCCCTCTTTGAGAAGGCAATGGCCAACGCGGCCGAACTGCTATCTAGTGGAACTCGAATATACAGAATGGAATCCGTGGCACCCGACGGTTGCTCACACCAGGGCGTGCAAAACAGTTACCTAAAAGTTGTTGACTGGGAAACGAACCGCGATGTGATGGTGCCCATTGAGACCGCAAGCGCTCAGACAACCTTCAACAGTAATAAGACATACTTGCTAATTGGGCTCACGGGTGATCTGGGTCAGTCATTATGCGAGTGGATGATTGCTCATGGAGCTAGGACCATCGTCCTCGTTAGTCGGAAACCTCGGATAGCCCAAGAATGGCTAGAAATGCAGAGCACGAAAGCCGCTCAGGTCCATGTCTACTCTGTGTAAGCTTTCTGCCCTTACTGCTATACCCACTGACAAGGTATGTAACCCACTAATTCTCATCTCTAGTGATGTGACCAAACGACGAAGCATCAATGAGCTGTACCAAAAGCTTATCAGAGAACTCCCACCTGTAGCTGGAGTTGTCAATGCCGCAATGGTCCTGCAGGATTCATTGTTTTCAAACACGAGCGTGGATATGCTGAAGGCTGTTCTAATGCCTAAGGTTGACGGAAGTAGGCACTTGAGCGAGTTGTTCCAGGACCCTGGACTTGACTTTTTCATCCTTTTCTCATCCCTCAGTGTTGTGGGTGGAAATAGCGGCCAAAGCAGCTATACTGCTGCAAACGCATACCTTACAGCTCTAGCCGACCAAAGAAGAAGCCAAGGGCTCCCAGCATCTGTCATGGATCTCGGACCTGTGCTTGGCTTAGGGTATATCACGCGTGCTGGCCAGTTAACCTCGGATGATATCCACGCCTACGGCGCTTACCCGATCTCTGAACAGGATTTCTTAGAGCATTTTGCAGAGGCTGTGTTGGCAAGCCCTGTCATACACGGCGCTAACTATGAAATCATCTCTGGCATTCGAGAGGTAGACCCAGTGGTCGATGATAGGGTGTCCTGGATCCACAACCCCCGACTCTCTCATTTGCTGGCCGATAGAGGTCGAATTACAGCAGGCCCTGAAGAAAGGATACGTATTTCAGTCAAGGAGCAATTACTCGACGCAAATACAACACAAGAAGCCAGGGAAATGATTCAGGGTAAGTCCGTTCTTTCAACCATAGTGAAGTCAGGATATTGATCATCTCACTCAGACGCATTCACGGCCCGACTGCTAGTCTTGCTTCAGCTTCCCGCAGAAGGCCTGGACAACCAAGTACCCCTAATAGAACTTGGGCTTGACTCTCTGGTTGCGGTTGAGGTACGTTCTTGGTTCATGAAGAATATCAATGTGGATATACCTGTGTTAAAGGTTCTCGGTGGATCAACAATACCCGATATTGTCGACCTGGCACTGCAACAGTTGCCTCAAGATACGATTCCGAAACAGGCCAGAGATGAGAAAGTCGTGATGGTGACAACACCAAGACGCCCAGAAACTGAGGAAGTATCGATTTCAAGCTCAACGGACACCAGTGCACCCATGCTCACCGCTTCTGCCACCAGCGACGATTACACGGAACCTTCCACGTCGGACAATGAGGATAATAGTCGTTTCACGCCTACTTCGAGCCCCAGTGCCGGAGATGCAGCCTGTATAACTGAGCTATCACTCGAAAGACAGGAGAGAATGTCGTTTGCACAGTCGAGGTTTTGGTTTGTACGGCACCACCTTCAAGATCCAACGACGTTCAACATCACTTTCTGTCATCGGTTGGAAGGAAACCCACATATCGAGGAAATGGCCCAGGCTTTTATTACGCTTGGAGTCCACCACAAGGGACTGAGAACCTGTTTCTTTGAAGGAGGCCCAGACGGTAATCAGCCAATGCAGGGTGTGATGAAGGAGTCACGCCTCCGGCTTGAACTACGCCATATCACGACTGGCGAAGAAGTCAACACCGAGTTCTCTCGGCTAAAGCACCACGTCTATGACCTGGAAAGCGGAGATACTATGCGAGCCGTCTTACTGACAATAGACCCACAAGTCCATTATCTGATTGTCGGGTATCATCACATTGCTATGGATGGTGTGGGGTTTGCGGGCTTCTTACAAGAGCTCCTTCAGCTCCAAGGCCAGCGTCGTCCACCCCCGATTCAACACCAATACATCTATTACTCCGAGAGGCAGCATGAAGCATACGAGAGTGGCCAGATGGCCCATGAGCTCGAGTACTGGCGTAAAGAGCTGGCAAACCCGCCCCAACCGCTACCTATCCTGCCCTTTGCTAAAACCAAATTTCGCCGGCCACTTAAGGCATATCAGCACTATGTCAGCACGTTCCGACTGAATCCAGTCCTTACCGCACGTATTAAACGCAGATGTCGCAACTTCCATGTTACGAGCTTCCATTTCTACTTGACAGTGTTACAAACTATGCTGTTCAGGCTCTTAGAGATGGATGATCTTTGTATTGGAATTGCTGAGTCAAATCGAACAGACAAGGACCTACTGCGAACAATGGGAGTCCTCGTGAATCCGTTAGCAGTGCGGTTCTCTCGCGATATGGATCAGTCTTTCGGTGATGCTGTGCGAGTCACTCGTGGCAAGGCCTATTCTGCACTTGAGCATGCCACCCTCCCTTTCGATGTTTTGCTAACGGACCTGCACATTCCGCGATCTGCTGAGTATTCGCCCCTCTTCCAAGTGTTCTTTGACTTCCGAACAGGAGTGCAGGAGAGATTGGTGCTAGGGGACTGTCAGGTGCAGAGAACGCACTGGGACTATGGAAGGACAGGATATGATATCAATTTAGACGTCATGGAAAACACTGACGGGGACGCTGTAGTCTCCCTGAGCGTGCAGAAGAGTCTATATTCACAGGAAGATGCTGATTTATTGGGCCGAGCTTTCCAAAATCTAGTCGCGAACTTCGCCACAAGTCCTGCCCAGCGCCTACCTGAAGGCAGTTTGTTCGCAAATGAGGATATTGAGAAAGCCATCACCATTGGTAGCGGTAGGCTATAGGTCCCATATTGAACTTTCCCATTCAATGTCTGACCCATACTGACAATGTGCAACATAGGGCATTATATTCAGTTCAATTGGCCGAACAGCATAAGTGAATGCATCAACCATCATGTAGCAGTCGTTCCCGACTCAATTTCCATCCAGGATGATGGTAATAAGAATGGGATTACATATCGTGCTTTAGGAAATCGTTCCAATCACATCACATTGTTCTTGCGTGGACTAGAACTCCCAGCCGGAAGCAGGGTCAGTGTCATTCAGGAACCTGGTGTAGACCACATTTGCTCTATGCTGGCCACTTTTCAACTTGGCATGGTCTACGTTCCCGTCGATCTCAGGCAGCCTCTTTCACGATTGCGCGAACTACTGGATGACTGTCAGCCCAGCGTTATCTTATGTCACAAGGCCACTGCCGAGTTGGCCGAATCGTTGTCGTCGGAAAAGACTTCGATAGTCAATGTCTCTGATATTAGCAGCAGCCAAGACATGAAGCCCGCATCGCCTGTCGACCCGAGCCTTCCCGCCATGATTCTCTACACCAGTGGATCGACAGGAAAGCCGAAGGGAATTATCCTATCCCAAGCTACCCTCTGCCAACACCTTGAAGGCATGGCAAAAACACTGGGCTTGGGGAAAGAGACCATTCTCCAGCAAAGCGCGCCCACATTTGACCTTGCTATCAGTCAGACACTCATGGCACTCTGCACGGGATGCACTCTCATTGTTGTGCCACAATCCAAGAGAGGCGATGCATTTCAGATTACTCAACTGATGGTGCAGGAAGGAATTACATTCACTTTTGCCACGCCGTCTGAATACGCCTCTTGGCTCCGACATGGCCATGAACAACTGCAATATTTAAAAACATGGAAATTTGCTCTCAGTGGAGGTGAAATTCTGACCCCGAGACTGGTAGATGAATTTAACTCTCTCTGTGGTTGCACCCCGCAGATAATCAACGTCTACGGACCCGCAGAAATTACCATCGCCAGTCACTGTATTTCTGTCCAAAACTCTTCTCATGATGAAGTGCTTTCTGTGGGAAAGCCTCTGCCAAATTATACCACTTACATTATGGATGAGAACATGAAGCCCTTGCCTATCGGATATCCCGGAGAAATTTACATCGGGGGCTGTGGTGTGTCCATTGGGTACCTAAACCATGCCCAGTTGACGCATTCGAAGTATATAGCAGACCCATTCATATCTGAGGAACATTCCTCCCGAGGCTGGACACGATTCCATCGTACAGGCGACCGTGGCCGGCTGGCAAGTGATGGCTCTTTGCACTTTGAAGGTCGGATCGGGAGTGACACAATCGTGAAATTGAGAGGGATCCGTATAGAGCTGGAAGATATCGAGAGCACCATAGTCCAGCAGGCCAAAGGTATTATCGAGCAAGCTGTTGTGTCAGTACGTGGAAATCCGGAGTTCCTCATCGCTCATGTAGTATTCTCGCGCGAGAGAGCGGATCTTGATCGAAACTATTTCTTGAAGGGTTTGCAGTCTAGCCTTGCCCTTCCACAATATATGCGTCCAGCATTGATCATCGAGCTTGAGCAACTCCCTGTCAATGCTCATTTTAAGACAGACAGATCCGCAGTTGCAGAGTTGGAATTGCCATCGATCAACCGAATCGCAGACACAGACCAATCTCAACTATTAACGGATGCCGAGAAGGCTCTCAAGGGAGTTTGGGATGAAGTCCTTCCAATTGAATTGATCAATATGATAGATGCACAGCCAGATCAAACATTCTTCGAAGCAGGCGGAAACTCGCTTCTCCTGATCAAACTTCAAGATCTAGTCAGACGACGTTTCTCGGCTGTCCTCTCTTTAGAAGAGCTATACGAAGCAAGTACTCTGAAGCTCATGGCTCAGCGCATCGAGAACGCACATCAGGACGCAAAAATAGATTGGGGCCAAGAAACCTCAACTTCAACTTTAACACTAGTGTCTATCCCCACGAGGACTTGCAAGCCGAGAGATAACGGGGCAGTTGTCATTCTGACTGGTGCCACGGGGTCTCTTGGCTCTAGACTATTGGCGCAGCTAATGGGCGACTCTCGAGTTTCCCAGATTCGTTGTGTAGCAGTCCGCCGACAGTTTGAGAGTCCTGGAGAGCCAGGCAAGGTGTCCTACTACGCAGGGGATCTCAGCAAGCAATATCTGGGTCTGCCAAAGAATGTTTTTGAACAGCTGTCTGGCGAAGCCGACGTCATATTGCATGTTGGGGCAGACCGCTCTTTCTGGGACCGCTACCAAGCGATGCGAGGACCGAATGTCAATTCTACCAGGGCACTTGTCGCCCTTGCTGCACCACGACGAGTTCGAATCCACTATATATCCTCTGGGGGCGTGTTCTCCACCCATCAGGGAGATATGAAAGATTTCCCAACGCCATTTCCTGTGCCATGTTCTCAATTACCTCCTAACGACGGATCAAACGGGTACCTAGCAACGAAATGGGCTAGTGAAAAGATTTTGGAAAATGCAGCTGAGCAGCTCAGTATCCCCGTGACTATCCATCGCCCCCTCCACGTAGCACCCAAGACCATGTCTGACGAGCATGAGGAGGCACTGGCTGAATTGCGTGCAATAAATAAGAAACACAACATCACCATAAAATCATCCAATATCCGTGGCCACATGGACCTTGTTAAAGCCGACGAAGTCGCGAGCAACATAGTGACAACCATGTTCGCACCTGCTGGACTCACCGCGCCCATGGATTCCGCAGCTGCGCAGCTCGCGACCAATGAACGTTACCCTGTGTCTTACGTTCATCACCAAAGCTCTGTTCGCCTCACAGTTGAGGACCTGGCTAGTATCTGGGAACAGAGCTTGGGAGAGAAGGAAGGAGCGAAATTCCTATCGGGACCGGAATGGATTGGGTTCGCCAAACGAGTTGGTTTCTCGTACATCGTTGCGTCTCAGAACTTTCAAATTGAGAGCGGTGCTGATGAGGCTCCCCTTGTGTCTCAGCGATGAGACGTTATCAATCTTCACTAGAGGCCGTGCTGGCTGTTTATACGAAGGCCATTACCCCATCACAGCATTTCCACTTAGACAATGACACATGTCTTGGCAGAGTTTTAATACGACTTGCTGCTGTAATTTAATAATTTCACAAAAGCCTAGGGTTTCGAAGAGGCGCACTCTGGTGTTGTGTTCCAGATATTGTTGCTTTGGCTGGTAGCGAACTTAGGGCAGTTGCCTCAGTACCTCTAAATGCACACCGCAGCAAAGCAACAGCATATCATCCACGCAAAAAAAAAAAAAAAAAAAAAAAAAAAAAAAAAAAAAAAAAAAAAAGACCGAGAGGAAGAGGATAATATTTTGTAGAATATAACTCTTTAGACAGTAGTCAACACAGACAGCTTTAAAATTACGCAACAAACGGGTGACCCACTTTTATCGAAATGACGTACCTCCAGTGAAAATCTTCCCGGCTTCACCGAACCGTCTATATAATCCCTCCAGACTCACCCGCAGAGGTCATAACGAAATGCCAATTGAAATCCTGACAACTGCATCCGATGATGGCCACGTCCTAGCTGACATTTTCTTCGCCGCTTTCAACACCGACTTTGACCGTCGCATTCTCCCTCCTACGCCTGATGTCCGGGACTGGCTCGCCGCCAAATTCAACCGCGTCAGTAAAGGGCAATATGTGAATCCCGCTGGCCCCGTTCTCATTAAGGCGGTTGATACGACCACCGGTGATGTTGTTGGGTTTGCACAGTGGAAGCTTCCTTCCACTGAGTTTCCCCCGTCCGGAGAAAATGTAGAGAAGCAAAAGAAAGTGGAGTGGCCGACGAGTGGTGACAATGCCCTCTGTGCGAAGCATTTCAAGGCCATAGACAAGAAAGAGCATGAGTTTATGGGGTCGATACCTCATTATTGTATGTACCTTTGTCGCAATATTTTAGCTGTATAAATGCTAAATCGGAATGACAACAGCACTGGATATGCTCGCGACCCACCCCAAGTTTGGTGGCCGAGGCATAGGCAGTCAGCTTTTGGGCTGGGGACTAGAGGAGGCTGATGTGGAGCGTACACCCACTTTCTTAACCGCGACTGTGGCTGGCAAGCCGTTGTACGAAAAGAAGGGATTCCAGGTTGTGGGATCAAACGAGATCACGGAGGGATTCGTACAGATTTACATGGTTAGACCGGCGGATGCCTAGACTTGCATGTATCACTCCTGCACCGATTGTTCCCGGGTTTTGTTTTCGAATTGATATTTGTTTCACAGTCTGTATAAACTAACCCTTATATCGGCAAGAGCATGCCTATCCTAGAGTATATCAAAAATAAACAAAGCCTACTGGCGGCTAAAGATGATATAAAAAAGAAATTAAGAAATATAGTACGTAATCAATTCGCCTGCTCCAGCTTCAGAAATGACTTTGCCGCATCAACTATAGAATCCTCTAAGGGACGATACCTTAGATCCAGCACATTCTCTGACTTGGATGCATCGATGCCATAGACATCACTTAATCCAGATCGTGGTTTACCCACAGGAACACGATCTCTCACTTCCACCACTCTATCTCGGAGAATATCGGCTATTCGCTGATAGCTGTATTTGCCTTGCGCAATCAAGAAGCGCTGCCCTCCAGCCTCGGGAACCTCGAAGGCCTTTAGATGCGCTTCGGCAACATCACGTACATCCGCCCACACCCACACCGAAGTTGGCGGTATAGCATGGCTTGGCTTTGACATGGGCGACATCAGTCGGTATACATCCATTGACGAAGTATTCAGGTTAACCAGGCTTGCCGTAGCGTTCTTGACCGGACCAAAGACGTACGGCGGGCAGATAGTGACCAGGTCAAATGGAGGGTTCTCTGTGGTCATGAACTCCCACGCTGCATGCTCCGCCATAGCCTTTCCTGCGCAGTAAGAAGCCATATCGGGGGTACTTTCATTTATGGCCTCCGCATATGTCATTGGATTCCAGTCAGCCTCCGTGTATATGTGATCTGGTCGGTCTCCCTTTGATATATCAAGGATATCGGCAAAGGAAGACGTGTGGACGACTCGGCGGACCTGAGGGGCACACCTCTTAATGGAGTCCAGGAGGTTGATTGTTCCTTCGATGGCAGGTCGCAACAGATCCCGTTCTTTGTCTTCAACTTCCGTTTGGAAGGGCGCGGCGGTGTGAATGACCCCGGTGACTCCTTGAATGGCCTCATCGAAGGCTTTCGCAGCAGCGACATCCGGGACAATGACAAGGCTCAAGTTATCCTTGTACTCCTGGAAGGTATAACGGACCTTGTGAGCCGTCCGTTCGGATCGAACGGTGCCGCGGACGTTGTAACCGGCACGCAAGAATGATTCAACGATGTGGGTAGCGATGAAGCCTGATGCACCTGTGACCAAGACAGTCTCACTGGCCATGATTCCGTGGTAGAACTATGAATATAACAGCGGGCTTGTTTTGCTAGTATAGCATAGATTGAGCTTTCAACTCCAGTTTTTGCTCACATTCACGGTTTATATAGTAGACCTTCAGAGGTTCACGCAAGAAACAAAACATCCCCTTGTGCTAGTAATATGACATCATGGCCAAGAGCAACTATCAAGGCATTCCTGAAAAGCTTTTTGTGTCCTTCTAGATTGAGCCTTCAGTTTGGTGATTCAGCTCCATTGCTTGATTTGTGGTGAGCGCCAAGAAAGAGAGTCAAGATGCAGGATATGGCAGGAAGAGAATGATTCGTGCCCGTGGTTGAAAAAGCGGGTATTACGCAAAACTCAAATGCCATGATAACAGTCTGGATGGTCCTTGTACATGGTAGGTCGGGCCTTTCAGAAAGGATCGGCGTGGTCATTGCTACATATCGAGCAAGAGCCGGCAGGTTTAATTGATTGGAACAGGGCGAAGTTGGACCATCCAGGTTCTTGGGATGTTTTGGCAGCTTCACAGTCCAGTTTCGCTTGAATTTTAATGTACGAATGTGCCTCTTCTGTCCTACTTGAAGATACCTGTGATCTTAGTTCAGCAGTGAAAGTTCGGAAAATGGTGGATTCAAGTTTTCAACGTCGAACGGCTTTACATCGCATGACGTACAATGTTCTTTAGCTTTTCCACTAGAATAGTGCAATCATTCTCATGGTCGTTAACGGGTATCAACTTGTAACACATACTCAAACATCCAACTACTTCAGCCTAATATTTCTCTACGCAGCCCATGCGTCATTCAGTACTTTCTGTCCCAACGCCAGCGTTTTGGACGGTTCCTCTCCCAGCCACTCCGGCTCTAAGCGATCGATGTTGGCTTCGATCTCCCAGGCACGGCCACCTTCCACGTACATAGAAGTCCCGTTGAGAGAGTCGTTAGCTAACACACCAGCAGATACAAGAGCTACCTCCTGAGGCGTGCTCACAGGCAAGCCTTCCTTGGTCCAGCGTTCCTGCACCATCTTTGTAAGGGTAGTGCGGGTCTCGGTCATCCAGGGACAAATAGTATTGATGCGGAGATTGTGTTTGTACGGTGATGGGAAGTAGGGGCGAAGAGAGCGCATGAGACCCTGCACACCGTGCTTGGAGGCCTGGTAGATGGATACACCTGGTGTCTCCTTGAAGCCAGCAGCACAGGAGAACAACAGAATGGACCGATCCACTCCTGGCCCACGGTTATGGCGGAGATAGACGCTAGCAATGCGGGTGACATAGAGAGACCCGATGAGGTTGACGTCGATATCCTTCGTGGAAGGAGGCTGGTGAAAGCTCAGCACATTCCCCTTCCAATGAAGTATGTCTTGGCAAGGAACTTACCTCTTGCACCGACTCCAAATTCAACTTTTGGTCAAACCAATTGTTGCCCGCTTCCATGCTACCTGCTGTGACCACCACATGATCAATACGCTTATAAGTCCTGAATGCACGGTCAAAGAGGGAGACGACAGCCTGGTAATCGGTGATGTCGGTGGTGTAGAAGGAGGTTCGGGGAGGCTTTGGTGGAAGGGCAGGGTCCCAGTAGACAGGCCATTTGTCCCGGCATTTCTTGCTTAGGGCCTCTCCTTGGGCGGTATCGATATCGCCAATGCAGACATGAGCGCCGTTTTGGCAACAGAGCTCGACAAGGCTAGCTCCAATACCATTGGCACCACCTATTGCACACACCGGGTTAGTCTTGGCATCCAGTGGAGCTCAAACGTGATTACCTACCCACAGTCAAGACAACCTTTTCATCGAAAGCCTCCTTGAAGTTGGCGCCGGGAAAGAATTGGGTTAGGGCTGAGGCAGAGCTGGAGGGTGGGACGGGCTCTGAAGGGGGAATCATTATGTAGGACTGGTGACAAGGGTATACTGTTTTAAAAAGAGAAAATGAGTAAGCTAAGGCTAGAAGTGACGGAGAATGAGTTCGAGATTGGAAAGATATGGATATTGAGCTTTCTGGGACATTAGGGTACCTTTTATGCCTGACAAGCAGACACTTGCGTCCTTAAGATAATGCCTTTTGTCCACACATATCTAGGCATCTCAAAGCCAATCAGGGTCGACGGTCTATACTAAGGCAATCAAAGCGAGGTTCTCGATCCCTGGGTCCCGGTGGAGTCTCCATCGGACGAGTAAGCTGGTATCCTGAATCTGAGGCAGTGACATTGTTGGACGGACGGTCGAATGCACTCCACCATCATCGTTCTTCCCCACCTGCCAGTCTCTGTCGCTCTCACCCACTGTGGATCAGCGGATCGGCACAATGCGGGGAGAGGTGAGAGGGTGATATCTGGGGATGGTTGTGACGTGAGGGCTGCATGGATGCATGATTGTGCAATTGAATTGAAATGAGAAGGAAAAGATAAAGAAATAAAATAGTACTTTTCTTTTGGTGGGAAGATTTTGTGTGATAACGTTAGTTCTCGGAACCTGTGGCTATCAGTTGTTGGGGTTTGCCTGGATCACTGGACCATCGGAAACCCCATCCAAACAACGTTCTTCATCTATACACCATCGCATCCCGACTGATCGCCATACTTGCCATATTGCTCAAACATTATTAACCTTTCTGCCTTGTGCATCCGTCAACCTTTCAGGCCACCAAGAAGACTGAACAGAAAGCCATCGCCGTCATTGGAATGGCTGACCGGGGAACTCAATGCAACCATTCTTTTCTGTTGTCCCGGCGCAGGTCATTAGTGTCTGTACCAAATGAGCTGTCCAGGGGTTTTAGATTGCGCGACCATATTTGCCAATCAAGGTAGGAATTGACATTTTTCGTCCTTCCAACCGTAGACGACGGGGTTGACGTCTGATCCACCGAAGCCACTAACACCAATCGCTACAGCCATTCCGACATCCGCGGGCCCGCTAATTCCCTCGGTAACCACATTTGGTGAAGGATTAACCTTCGTGTTTGCCTATAGCATTGCTCCCCCGGCTCTATAACAGAAATTGACATCCACCAACGCAAGTACCAGGGCCATACAGGTCGGTGCGCTAACGTTCCCCCTTCTGCGCGATGATCAATCTGGCTGACATGCTGGGGTATGGTGGCCTGCATAGCCAGCTTCAATCGCGGACTATAGAGTTCCGTCTATTCTCTCATTCCCGCACAAGATGAATGGTGTTACCACGACCGGGAGAAACCTCGCCTTTAACTTCCGCCATGGCCGCAGTGACGCGACAGTTTCTTGCGCGAAACACCCATGATGATTATGATGCAAGCGGCATTATTCTCAGCAATCAGCTCAGGACTGCCCTGTCCATCCGCATAAGTTACCATGATGGATGGTGCCGAGACTGGTGCGCCGAGACTTTTGGCTGAGCCATCAATCCCGGGAGGAGGCTAGGGCCCTTGTCCTGAAACTATTACTGTTGTAAGTGCCTCAGCCGTGTGTACAGATAGACAAAAAATAAGTACGGAGCAGGGTGCTCCGCTATGACTATGTATCCATGCCCACTGCCATTTGTCCTTCGTGGTTGGCATCGAGGAAATTCGACAGAAGCAAAAGTCGAGACATTCTAGCATCCCATTAGAACAAACAGCGCTCGACCGGCCGAGCGTACCGATGGATCTGTATCGGCCCCTCGATTACCCAGACATCTCTCGTGGCTCTCCACCGGTCCCACTTTCATACGACCCTATGATTACTTTGAAGAAACATCGTCTCAACAAAAAAAACGGCTCATGAACCAATATATCGTAGTCCAAGAGGAGGATGCAATATCTCACACGCTCGAAGTCTCATTGCTATATTAATTAATATTCTCAGTTGTGGTCTTGATACGAGGCATCCCGAGCAGGTTGGAGGGGTGCCTATGCATGGACACAGCATTGGCGTCGTTGCTCCACTCTGGAAATCCAATTAGTGTTCTCCTGCAGCTCTGCCACGGCAAACGGATCGCGGAAATAAATCCAAACACCAATCAGCAATCTCGTATTCTCTGGTGCACTGCTTGGTGCCAATGCATTATTACCAGTCTCTATACTTTGTTCGGTAACTTGAGCGGGATGAGTTTAGTCAAGGCAGCCGCCTTTGCATCTCAGGGAGAGCGTGTGGCCTGATACACTGCACAACCGGGTCCACCTTTCCCTTCGCTCTGACATGAGCGGTCTATCATCGGCCTCCTGCGGGGATGCCCTGCTGAGTCTTAATAATACTATGGCGTATACAGCGTCTATAACCTACAAAAGATATGGGTATCACTAATTCTCCTTAGAAGTGTCCCTTTGTCTACTACATCTCTATTAGTCTGTAGTAGCCTTTGCTTTCCTCTTTGATTTTAGGTTCTCTTCACTCTCTTTCATCCAGGTCCGACTTTTGAATGTTAAGTCCTGGACAGACAATACTCATTGTACGGGGACTGTCACGTACCAATACTGCCGCTCTGGAGGCTCTTACGAATCAGACGATGTCTGTGCTTCCGGTTTTTATTAATTTAGATATATCTGCTACTTTTGTATTTTGAAAAAGCTATATGTATAAATCGAAAGTTGAGCTAGGCAACGACGGTATAAGGGAAACAACGATAGTTCGCTGTGCAACCGAACATATCCATGACAGATCTGAGATCGTATATGGATCATGCAATGTGGGTGATTTGTCCAAATTAGAAAACTAGAACGGTTCCCGTAGAAGGCGGCTTGCGTACGCTAATATTTATACCGTAGTATTTCAGCTACCTCAAGTTCCAACTCCGGAATGAATGTAATGCTATAATTTCTAGGATACATAGAACTTGTATTGAGAGCGAACATAGAGGTGGCAGTAGGTGTCTGAGTACCTGCTTCACGACTTCAACCTGGCCAGGGCTGGCGACAAGCCACAAAGGGACGGTTGCAGACAATCATGAATATTCATAAAATGCGTATTTCTCTAGAAGGAGTTTCGCTACTATTATGTTTCCTGGCTTCGCCACATATCTCAGGGAGGTCCAATCTCGAATACCTAGGATGTTTGGGTCTAGTCTTCAAGATGCGATTCATACCTGTTTCCCTTTTCACGTCGTTCTCTTTGTCTAGCCTTTGCTTGAACCTTGTTTGGGCGCTTATTCTGACCTAGGGACTGCTCGCAATCTTCGAGATCTCCGATATCACGATGTGTAATGTTGATATTGAGTTGCCAGTGCTGAGAAGAGCCATCGCCGTGTTTGAACATAGCCAGCCTTCGGGCTAGTTCTTCAACAAACGCAACACTCCGATGACGACCCTCTTCACAGCATATTGTCACCACTATATCGATGTCTGCGCCTTCTACGGCGGCCTCCTCACTTGAATGCGTATTCAAATCAGAACGGGCATTAGCTTCCTCAGATCCTTGGTTATTTTCATCCTGCTCAGTTGAATACAAAAGTCGGTCACATTCTTCTTTGGCTACATCGGAAATCTCCCGCTGGACCTTTGCCAAAAATGCCTCGACATTATCATTTTGGAGAAACTCCTTTTGAAGTCGCCGAGATAGCCCGGTTGCTTTGAGTCGCAGATGGCGGGGTGGGTTTGGCAAATGTCGAATATTGTAAGCTAAGGTTTTGTGACATCGTGCCTCCCTAGTATGCTGTTGCACAATTGGCCCATTGGCATGACCATATGAAAAAAGTGAAATTCGGATGGATCTTGCGCACGCCGACGGAGAAGCCATAGCAGGCTTCTGCCCAAATTCTTAGTAAGAATAACGAGCTAGACCACAAAGCAATGGGCATACACCGATAGTCGTATGAGCGCCTATACAAAACTTCACAATAGCTTTGTCACACTGCTTCTTAGATCTCGGCTGACGAAGCGTACGGAGCGTACACATACATTGTAGGTTAGCCGAATGCAGTGACAGTGATACTGGCACAGCCTTCACTGTATTCAGCTTGGTCGAGATCAATTTCAACGGGTATTATGACTTTCCAACTCGCAAGTTGAAGGACAAGTTCTTCGGGTGATTCGCTCTGAGTCACTAGGGCAGAGTATAATTAACCCCAGCCCAACCCGAATAACAGTCCAACTGCGGGGCTTTCTTTCCCCACTCTTCCCAGAGTCAAGAGATCTATTTTTCTGATTTCATTGCTTCATAACTATACAACACAAACAAAACGCAAGATAAACCCGATTACAATGGGTTGGTTTTCCGGTAAGGAGACCTCCCCTTGCAATGTCGTATAGTTTCTTGGCTGACATAGGGCAGATGACTCCGATCAGGCCGCCGCCTACGATGAATATAATAACTCACAAGAGCACCATGAAGCCTCCCTTTCACACGAACTCCTTGCAGGAGCTATTGCTCTTGAGGCCGCCAAGGCTTATGAAGACCATTGTGCCGAGCACGATCAGATTTCTTGGCTTTATTAACTCACTTTGAGTGCTGACGATGGCACGATGCTAACCACAATTACACCCTATAGGCGAGCCCGACTCCCATGCCACGGCCAAGGAGCTTTTAGCCGGTATTACAGGTGCTTTACTTGACCGTGAGATTGAGACAAGGGGCCTTGACTGGATTGATAGAGAGAGAGCCCAAGCAGAGGCGGACAACCATCTTGACGGGGAGCTCCAGAACCGGTACAACTAGATATCGTAGTTGGTTGGGTAAATTAATATTCGCAAATGAAAGGCAAATCGATTGAAAATGTGCAGCAATCTTATGTTGTGCGCACCGCACACCATATTGTGGGATGGAGTGGAGACTGGAGGGGCATAAGGCATATCTTACAGGAACATATAAAATGACAGTCATAGCTTCTTCCAGCATTAATTGTATCGTGATTAATAGATTCGCTTACGGATCATGTGACCGCCTGTGATTGCTCCCCCGCAATTGCCTTGATTACTAGATACAAGATAGAATCCGTACACCGATACACACAGGCCATATATTGGGAATGCAAGATATGTCGGTCTCATATTTTGTCCCCAAAATTGAACAAAGATACCCTTCACGATGGCAGACGACCAGGAGCAAACCCTGTGCTCAAGATGTCAGACCATAAGCCTGGACGACCTCTTCCGGAAAGTAACTTCCTGTGCACTCGTTGAACCAGACCCAAGTCTCGTTCTTGACCGGACTCCAGAGTGGGCAAACTTGACATGTTCTCTTTGCAACTTCTTCCTGGACATGGTCCCACCTGAAGAACGCGATACTTGCCCAAGGATATCGATATATCGTGCGCGGCAAAGTACTAGAAACGGCTCGACAAATAACACGCCAGTCAATGCACCAGATGTGGCCCTCAGAACGACTCTGTTAATTCAGACGCATAGTGGTGGACCGACGCTTAGCCAACGACACTTTGTGAACTATAGCAAAGTGCCAGAAACACCAGTACTCATCAACCATGAAAGGGTAAGCTACGGAACTATGAGGAAATGGTGCAACTTGATTCAAAAGATTCCAAGAGAAGAAATGGACGTGCTGCCACTCTCAGTCATTGACTGCCACAAGCGAGAAATTGTCCCAGTGCGTGGTCCTTGCGACTATGTCGCTCTCAGTTACGTCTGGGGTCAGACAGCAGCACAAGAGGCTCCTAAAGGCAACTCCCTACCTCCTCACCTTCCATGCACAGTCGAAGATGCCATGACTGTGGTCAGAGAGCTCGGCCTCCAGTACCTCTGGGTTGACAGGTACTGCCTAGACCAGAGCAACAAGCCCGAGTTCGAAGCACAGCTCAACCAGATGGCCGATATTTACCGACATGCTCTTATAACCATCATCGGAGCAGCTGGTTCAAATGGGGACTACGGATTACCTGGTGTTAGCTCCCGACCTCGAATCAAGCAGCCTTACATCAAGATTGGCGACTACACGCTCTGGTCCTCTATGACCGACCCGCGAACATTAGTTCGAGAAAGCCCATGGATGACTCGCGCCTGGACATACCAGGAAGGGGTCTTTTCTCGGAACTGGATCGCGTTCACCGATGAGCAAGTCTTCTTCCAGCGCTCAAACTCGGAGCAGACAATCCTGGAACGGTGGTGGAAGACATCCTGCGAGATGTTCCCTCACGGCGGGTTAGGAGCTGATGCTAATTGTCCGTTGCTAAACATGTACGACAAGGTGTGGAAGAACGAGGGGACCATTCACCAGCTTCTTGCACAATACACAGATCGGAAGTTGACCTATCCGTCTGACGCGATTAACGGAATATTGGGGTTGTTGAAGCGTTGTGAAAATGGGCCGTATCCAATGAACCACTACTTTGGCATTCCTATTCTAGGACCGTTGGTTAGTCATCGCAAGGCCATGGGCCGTGATCCCAGTCGGAGCTGGCCGCTAACGGAAGCTTTCCTGGTAAATTTATGCTGGAAGGCGAGGGGAACAGGGCCGCGCAGAGCCGAATTTCCGAGTTGGTCCTGGTCTGGGTGGCAAGCTGTCTATGAGGGCTTTGCTCAACCACTGGCTCACAATGGACTCACTGGGAGAAGCTTGACTAAGGTGAAGCTATTGGTGGAAATGGAGGAGGACTTGGTAGACTGGGAGGCCATGTGTAACATGATAGATTGGGATGTTTACCAGGATTTAACATCCCTGCCGCGAGAGCTTTATATGCAGGCACCGACTGTTCCACTAACTCTCTGCCGAGAGGTAAGAGGAACCGGGGATGGTTTTGCTAGTCATGCTGCGGATCTTACGCCTATCCCATGGTGTGCTATATTGAACGACAATGAATGCGAGGTTCTGATTGAGGTTAATCTGGTAGACGAAGAAATTGCATCGACGCTCCAGACCACGGACTCTTTGTTGTTGAAAGGAATTATTCTCCGCCAGTTGGACCCTCATACAACCCAGGAATACAACCCCTACGACAATCAGATTTGGGCGTTTGCTCTTATAGCGCTAGGAGATAAAGACGGGGCAACGAGAGTTGGGAGCCTGGAGCTGCGGCCAGACAATTACTCGGTCCGTTGGAAGTACCATGTCGACCATTCGGGTGTGAAAAATGAGAAGTGCTGGGTCCGAAATGTTCTAAAGGACTACGTGGATTGCGCTGAATGCAGGGCCAAGGCATTAAAGATGCTTGTAAGTGGACAAAAGGACGAGCTCATTAAGTTGTTATAGAGAACAATACACGGTTCTTATCGGCCCAGACTTAGACCCTGTGGACGGAGGGATGAACCTCCTGGTCGAGATATGCCTCCATGTGGCAATACTGACTCCGCGGCAAACTCCAAACTGATCAGTCTTAACGGCAGAGGATATATATAAGGCGCTTGACGGCTTCATAATTTATGGCCTGCGTGATAGGTTTCCGCTGGGATAGCAATGACGAGTTCCAAGAAGGCCGAAGGGCAGAAACAACTGAGGACATCAAAACATACAATATCACAAAGTACTTCGATTACTTGGATTAAGGGTCAATTGATATGAAAAACATGATTGGGTCGCTTGGAATAGGCATTCGCTTCGATAAACCATTGCTCAAGAACAGTATTCAGATCCGATCCTATGCCCTATCGTCAAGATAAGAGAACATAATGAAGGTACAAACCCTTCCCTTCTCACCCAACTAACAAAGAAAGAAGGAAGGGAGGAAGGAAGGAAAGAAGGTCGAAAGTTTTCTCCGTGTTTGGAAGAATTGGGGTTTTAGCTTATAACAGCCCATTGCATCAAGCAGATATTGTTCGGCTAGGCCCTTCAGAATGGGACGATTTCACTCCCAACCCAAGGGAGAGCATAATGCTGACAGAAGGTGCCATTGTTAGTGCTACCTATATTTAATATTTAGCTATATAAAGAAATAGCGATTGTGGATAATAAAATTTGTATTATCCTTGGAAGATTCTGTGTTCCTTTGTACTTCGTACCAATTTTAATCCTCCGAAGTGAGGTGAAACTGGACGGATCATTCAATTATATATATATGCATCTATGGAAGCTGGATAGGCTTCTTTAACCCCACCAACTTTCGGTATACCTAACTCACTCGTCGAACATACGGCCGATTAATCAAACAATGCCATACTTTTGGTAGAGATTCCCTCTACAAAAATTCATTCACAACTGGGCAGGTTGGGTTTAAACTAGCATTGAATCTTGATATGTTCAGCACACTGATTTACAGCATATGCAAAGCAAGGCGCAGTCAACCCTCTCAAAAGAACCATAAAAAATCCTTCTCGAACCACCATAGAACAACCGAAAATAACTTTAAGAAAAATCTTATTATGGTCCGACGTTGACATTCCTCCGAGCTCGGGTGCATCTTCGGGCCCGAACTCAAGCATTCTGGCAAAAGACAATGAGTTTCGGGCCCGAGCCACTCTTCTTCCACACATATAAGAATATGAAAACGCCCCCAGCTTGGAATGCAACCTTTTGGACAGACTTAATTCCTCACATCATTTTCAAGACAACTCAACTCAATTTTATACCACATGAAGGCTCCTTCGGTTCACCAACCCGTCATCATCGTCGGGGCCAGCCTGGTCGGGCTCTCGGCTGCTGTGTGTCTATCTAAGCATAGGGTACCCACTATCGTCCTAGAGAAACATGCAAGCATTGCGAAGCATCCTCGTGCTATTGGTTTTACGCCACGAACATTGGAAATCTATCGCTGGCTCGGCATCGCAGACCAGATCCCCGAAGTCCCCAAAGACTTCAATCTGATGAGAGCGAGAGTCGAGAGCATGACAGGCAAATGGTTTGAAAGCACGTCCTGGTCAGACACGGGTAGCTCCGATAAGAAGACAAGCCAGGAAGTGCCTGCTACGAAGAAACAATATTCGCCGTCCCGTGGAGCCGCCTTGCCCCAGGATCAATTGGAAGCTATTCTGCAAGCGACAGCCGTCGAAAGAGGTGTAGATATCCGGCGCCAACACAAGGTAACAAACGTGGAGCAGAGCCAGAATGGTGTCACTGTGACAGTGCTCGATCCTCAAAACAAAGAGATGCAAATCGAAGGCTCGTATCTCATCGCGGCAGACGGCAATCGCAGCACAGTTCGCGAGCTACTGCAGATCCCACGGAATGGGCGCGGCCATATGCAGACCATGCGCAGCGTACTGTTCCGCGCTCCCCTGGAACAGTATATGCAGGGGGTGCACCAATTCAGTATCGATCAACCGGATCTCAAAGCCTTTATGACAACCTACAATGACGGTCGGTGGGTCTTGATGTTCCACGATGACGTTGAGCGTGATGAGCCCACCCTTCGCTCGGCTATCAACCAAGCCATCGGTAGATCAGACCTACCGGTTGACATTATCACGACTGGTCGTTGGGACTTAGCAGCTCTTGTCGCAGACACCTTCCAGTTGGGGCGTGTTTTTCTCGCTGGCGATGCGGCGCACACGCTGCCGCCCAACCGAGGAGGATATGGAGCAAACACAGGAATCCATGATGTCGATAACCTCGCCTGGAAGCTAGCGGCGGTTCTAGCAGGCAAGTCATCACCTGAACTATTAGACACGTACGATGCGGAACGGCGACCCGTGTCCCTCCTTCGCCATGATCAGATCTTTGCCCGCGCCGACTACAAAGTCCACCTGGACAAGGCCACACCCGCCGGTAAAAAGCTCGATGACGATGCGATGGAGTTTGGACAACTGTATCTATCACATGGCTTCATTGGGGTCGACAATAACCTCCCACGAGCGTTGAAGCCTGACGAATGGGCAGGCCAGCCGGGTACCCATGTGCCACATTTCTGGGTCACTCAAGATGAAAACCCCGTTTCAATCTTAGATGTGGTGGGTGAGGATTCATGGACACTGGTCTCCGAGTCGGTAGAATGGGAGGAGGTTGTGGCTCAAGTGAATCTAGGATCATCGGTCATGTTGAAACATATTTGCATCGGAAGAGACGTCCAATTTGCTGACAGAGGGAGCTTCCAAGAGGCTCTGGGAGTGTCCGCTACCGGCGCATCGCTCCTGCGACCGGATGGATACATTGCCTGGAGGACAAAGGTAGTGCCAGCAAACCCTGTCAAATGTCTGGATAATATTGTGGCTCAAGTCGCTTTTCGGGTGAATAGCCATTAGAACTGAATGATCGATTCTGAAGAGCTCTTGCATCGGCTTTGGCGTTAGAGGATTGTTAGCTATGATTTGGATTTATGTACCAACTATACAATGAATAAATAGGAGAATCTCATAACATTCATTCATTCTTCAGTCATTACCGACGTGTTTCTCTTCGTACTGGCAAGCCAAAGCATCAGAAATCCAGGAAACGGGCTGTTGTAGAAATGATTACAAGCTTGACACAGAGCACCACATTCGTCAGGCCACATCCACTTCCAGTTCAATTTCCATAACCACAAAGCTCGTCTTTGTATTGCGCTGATGGCTGGAAACTGAGGTCGAGCCTCATCACTTCCTTAGCGTGTTCTCAATCCAGTCGGTATCCATATCAATATCTATCTGGTGTAGAACCTCTTCCCACAGTCCTGGGTCGTCATTGATGTCAAAGTTAAAGGTAATGTCTCGCATCGTTGGTAGATCTTGTTGCAGTGGCCATGGTGACACCCCTGGATGCTGCTCTTCAGCCACGTTTGTGGATGGTGTTGGCTGCTGAGTACTATTGGGAGTGACGGGAGCCTCGATGAAGACGTCCTCTCTTCTCGTACGGTTCGGACCAATGGCGGACTGCAGCTCGAGTAAGAGTGAATGACGTGAGCCGAGGTACGTATTCCCACGGTCTGCCATGCCGCGAAGCAGATTCAGTGCCGTCTCCATCGCGCGGGCATTTGTTTCGTTGTGTGGGAATGCGGCATTCACCATCACCAGGAGAAGGGCAGCAGAGAAGATATACTCCCCGTCGAGATAGCCATACGTAGCTTTTAGGCAGTCCGCACCATCAGCTTTTGAAAAAACACAAAAGGCGACATAGGATATACTCACCGATCAAGTTGTGCTTCGCAGCGGCATCCATAATCACCGTGGTAGCCCGGGCTGCCGTTATGCAGCTGTCGATCACAGCTACTGTATTCTGAGACAGCCCGTCCTTCCAGTCCTCTGTAGCAGAACCTCGCGCTTCGGCATCTAATCGCCGCTGAATTACATAGAAGACCAACGGTCTAGCTGTCATGTTCACGCAGGAATAAAAGTGTAAGAAGATGGACACCAACTCGCGGTTGATATGAGTATCCAAGGCCGAAAAGTCAATGCGCAGCCGGTCAGGTATCCGCCGCAGCCATTCAGACAAATCGTTCGTGATACTTTGGACAGATGCTAATAAGTTAGAGCCAGATCGAGGCTTTTTACGATATATCTCTAATCTCAACGTCAGTTTGATAAGTCCTTGCTAGGACAAGGGATTTCCCACCTTCCCCGATCCGTCCTAAGATCCTAGACAGCTGGGTATAATATGTAAGCACAACTGATGGCCATGGGACAGCATGGGAAGATTCGGCTGGAATCGGCCATGTAACTCCGATATCTTCGTCCTGTATCGTGATCGGATTTCCCGATTTCACTGACAATAATCGATCCAGACTGTACACGGACCACCAGGCTCGGCGCCGACGGTTTCGGTCATCTTCACTAATGGCTGGGTCTGAGACCTCCTGGTGAAGACCCAGTGAGATCGCCATGCGGAGAGCAAGGCCGATCTGTTAACCAACGTTAGCAGCGTCGATAGCATCTAAAAAGGGTTTATCAGGCGTACGTAGAGGAAGGCAGCGTCTCGTCGGTTGAGGTTCTGCATATAATACGCCACATAGCATAGGACCTCGACGAAGAATATGGAACCTTCTTCATGGATATCAGGTAAAAAGCGCAATGCATGCTTGAAATACTTGAATCCCGGAGGGCCATCATCTCCGGACCATTGGTTCACCGAGTACATCAGGCCAAAGGCTATGACGAGCAGAACTTGGCAGTAAACCAGGCACGACTCTCGGTTGGAGAAGTCAGGCGGTTGATTGTATACAACCTGCAGTCGTTCCTCAAAGTCCTGTGGGTGAATGAGAGAAAAGATCGTGCCAATGTAGGAGTACTGGACCCAGAACAGCCGCTTGGCAAATTCAAAGGGCGGTAGTTGAGGAAGGGCTCGTGTTACCGACCGACGCAACGACGAAGGATCGTCATATAGTGGACGAACATCCCACGCTAGATTAGTCGAGGTTGGATTCAACCGTTTCGCTAAATGGGTAGCCGACGAGGCACCGACAAATTCTACTAGATTTTAGCCAAGATCATGACAAAGCATTTAAATTGAGGACAACGCACGGTGTTCGCCAGACCGGTTCAGGAAGAGGTGGTCGGTGCCCTGATACCACCAGTCATCACGGTCCAAAGGCGCCTCGGTACTAGTGTACGGAGTGGATTGGGTAGGACTAGCAGTGGTGAACAGTGAGGACTGGCGACTGGCCTGTGAACGGGATAGACTGGTCTGGGTCTGTGCCTGGGCCTGAAGTTGAGCCCGCGCTTGAGATTGGAGTTGACGATAATAACTTGATATCGAGTTAGTCAGGTGCCCTGATGAACTCTGAAGTCATGTGCAGTACCTTTCGGGAATGGAAACGCGTTTCTCAGCTTCGGAGTAAACACACACTTGGCCGGCGTCTTCGCATGCAGCACACTGATATGGTGGATTGCCAGCACATCGGGTCTTTCTGTTGCGACATCGATTACACCTGTGGCCAACTGTTAGTCACTGTGACCCTACCATAACGTATCCACCTGTCACCTACGCTACAATGGACCGTCTCGCATTGGAGCGGTCTTCCGAACGAGATTGCAACCCACTTCGGTCCTTTCCTTGCGCCATTTGACAAGCAAAAGAACATATCGCACCGATTACAGGTGCTGCGTCCAAGTTTCGTTTCCAATCTTAGTTGTGGTGCCGAACCTCGCTGCTCTTTTTGCCCGCGGGATAGATGTTGATGGCGTGGGTCCACGTTGAACGAACGCACAGACCTGCAAGCTATACTCCCCACAGATTCCGATTGGGCTATGACAGTTCATCAACTTTTTGCTCGTCTCGTACAGAAGAGAATCATTCCCGCTAGCAGGGACTGGAACTGCAGACGGTGTACGGTCGCGTGCCATGATAACACTGGCAAAGGGAGCGGATACGAACCAGTTGTGGGGCCCAAACAGTCATGCCCCTGATCCTTGACTAATTCTCTGTTATCTGGATTGCTATCAGTTCTCAAGTCACTTCTTTCCCCACATTTAAGCGTTGAATGTTCCTGTCAATGCAGCACATCGGCCCGATGGGGCACCACCATTCATGCAATCCATTACTTGGGCGAATCGTGAGGTGGGAGTGATTAGTCAAGCACTACAGCCAACAGACTTGATTCTAGGGACAAAAATAACATGTCGGTGGATAATTGGGGACCGTCGGGGTGAACCAAAATGCCAGCTGCCAATTTCCGGCTATTTTTCTTCCTTCGGGTTCCTCTCGGAATATCGCGGCCCATGAAAAAGGAGACAATTTTGGCACCGGTTGAGCGTGGTTCTCGCAAATTTGAACTCCACCAAACCTTGGCCACTTCTACAGGATTTTCAGAAAGATGCGCAGGGTTTTGGCCAGGGATCGGCAATGGTTGTGTGTGTAATTACGATCTTAATCTTGGGATTATTGGCCTTTGTGCACGCGCTCTGCAACTACACCCGCTTAAGCACTGTTCCAGGTCCTCTGTTCACTGGCATATCTGACTTGTGGAGGGCATACGCTCGCAGTACAAGCGACTATGGTTGTAGTCTAGCTGGCCTTCATAAGAAATACGGCAAGGTCGTCCGCTTAGGGCCTCACTCCATCAGTGTTTCCGACCCTACGGCCATCTTCCCAGTCCATAATGGCCGGCCGAGTGAAAGGGTAATGTTCATCATCGTCGTGGTATCTCGTACTAATTTATTTCGTAGTCAACATTTGAATATGATAATTGTACTGTATTCGCCCAAGTCTCGTCTGCGAGCTCGACCGATCTTGAAAGTAATCTAATGAGCAAGGCCACTCGACGGAGGTGTCTGGAATCGGCGATGCGATATGAAGGCATCATTGATCAGGCAGCCAACGAATTGATCACATCTTTGAGACAACATCCACTGGTACATCTAACGACCTTGCTTCAGGGCTTTGCCACTGAGTTCATTCATCGCCTGGTTCTGGAAGAATTGACCACGCAAGACATGCCTTCTAGCGCTCAGGGAGCAGGCTGTCACTGGTATAGCCGCCCAACCAAATGTTTCACGTTACCAATGATCGAATATGCGCTCCTTAAGAGCCCGCCCGCTAGGTTAAAAAGGCGCCGCGGCATTTCATTTGTTCACAGGCAGGTTCAAGGCGGGTTCAACGGCAGTCAATCATCTAGGGCTATGCATGATCGTGCAATTAGCTCCAACCTCAGCTTTCCCCGGAGTTGTAGCAATGCAGACAGCGCATACACCTGTATTGCTATGGCGTTCGTTTCAACATTCTCCTCCCTGTTAAGAAACGAAAACGTCATGACGAGACTCCGATCTGAGGTAGACACGGCATTCAACAAGGGCCTACTCTCCGACCCTCCCCAGTGGCAGGAACTGGGTAAACTGCGTTACCTTGATGCTGTACTCAAGGAATCAATGCGCCAGCTGCCTAGCTTAAGCTACAACCGGGAGATCGTAACACCCCCCGAAGGCGCTATCGTTGCAGGGTACTACATTCCTCCGGGAACCATGATGGAACTTCATTCGGAAGCCTTACGAGGCGATCCTGGTATTTATGGGGAGGACGTTCACAACTATCAGCCGGAACGATGGCTCACTGCTGACCCGCGACAACGGTGGGCCATGAACCAAAACTTGCTACAGTTCAGCACCAGCATCAATAATCGCCCAAAGGTTCGGGTCGCTTGGCTAGAGTTGAAAAAGATTGTTGTCTTGGTGCTCCTAAAGTTCAACGTGGGTTTCTTTTCTCCGTTACGGCTTGTATTTTTGACTGACTCACATCATAGTTGCAGCTCGTACGTCCTGGTGAAGCATTAATTACCGGTGATAGGTCTGACCAAGGCATGCCACCGTCGATGGCATATTGTACCCCGCGAAATCAC